TCGTTCTAGAGAGATTCACCCAGCTGTGGCGATTCTCTCGACATCGTTGGCTGCTGCTCGACGATCTCAACGAGTGCCCAGTTCCGTTAGTTGATTCACCCGCAGCCCGACAAAACCTCGTCGCGCCAGCGTCGATCGATCACTCCGCCTGCGAAACGCCCACCTCGATTCGACTCGCAAATGCTGTGCTGGTGATTCGCCGGAAAATGAGGGACTAGACGGAAATTCCAGACTCGGTTCAGTTCTACTTATTCGGGCAAAAAATGGTATTTCCGAAGGCCCATCTGTGGCAGAGCTGAAGCATACACCGATGCCCATGCAGACATTGTACACGACACCGGGTCTGTTCTTTGAAGAACGGACCTCTGACTACTCAGACAATCGCAGATGACTTCCGGGGAAAACTGAAGTTCTAAAACTTGCAGGGGACACTCCTATTGGAGCTGCCAGAGAGGGCGGGGCCTACCCACACGGGCAACAGGTAGGGCGAGGCGTAGCGTCCCCCCGGAAGTTTTAGAAGTTCAGTTTCTCCCGAAAGTCATTTGCGATTGTATGAGTACAGATATGACCTCGCGCAGAAAAATCTGCCAAAAGCTCAAACGTCTTCTAAAATTATACTTATCAAAAGAACTATGGGAACGTAGGTAGGGTCAGCTGTAATTTGTCGAAAGCTCCGAAAAGCTCACCTGAAATATGCCTACAAAGGAGGACTGAGAAGTGCGAAGTTATGAAGTACTCGGAAAACATCAAGACCAAAAAAGGTACGAAGTAGGGCGATTTCTTATACGACCGATAATAGCTCTTCACGAGCTTTTGACTGATGTACAGAAAAGCATTCTTTTTGCAGTTTGTTTAAAACACAATGTTTTGAGGTAATATAGTCGGTACCTTTCCGTTATTCGGGCCTATTTTTTCAAAATGTTCTCATCAAATGTGTACTTTAGTCTAGAAAAATTGTTTTCATAGGTCCTATGAGGACTGTCACCCTGCCACGTGTCGAGAAAAAACTGACATGTTTAGGCTCAGTTTGAGATGTTTTTTTTTTCAAAAATTTCCGGCGAACGGCACCTGAAATGACTCAATTTGCGCTTCTTTATAAAAGCATAACAGTCCACGTTTATCAGAGCATTTCGAACGCTTTCAGCAACGATTCAAACATCTAACCTTTTTGAATTGTTTTCGTCATGCTTCCAGGAAAGATTATCGATATTGGCTAGAAGTACTGCCTGCCGCTTGCTCTATCGCTTAGATCTTGGAACCATAATTTATTTCTCTGATAGGCAAATCTAATGTGACCATTAAGCACAGGACGTTATTTTTACATATTAGGTTATTGCAAAAATAATGTCCGTTTTGCATAGTTTCATTTTAAAAGGCTATAACTTTCTTCAGTCTCAATATTTCTGAATGCAATCAAAACCATCCGAAGCAGTAAACATTTCGTAACCTAACCACCTGCTTTTACTGATGTTGCAAACGGGAAGAAAAGCATGCGGCGAAAACCCGAACGTTTTTCTTTTGAAGACCTCGTCTTTGAGAGATTACAACTCCCTTCAAGTTTTGTTTCTATGGCTGCTAATTAGCTTATTTTGTAGATGCAAGCCAATAGTATACGACTGCTAAAAAAGACTTCAACGAAGGAGTTCTGCGAAAAGAAAAGGTAGAAATCCAAAATTGTCCACTTTTTTGAGCCTACTTGTGGTAGGCCAGAAAGTCCCAAACTATGGAAACTTGAAACTCTTCATACACTGAATAGCTAAGTTTTTCTGCAAAAATTATAGGAAAGATGTCCTGATCTCAAGCATACAGAAATGAGCGAAGTTTCGGCGATTGCCCTAATTGTGAGAAACTTTGGACCCATAGAATACCTACAGCAATTGTCTACTTCGGGGCTTCGATTTCTCGGTTCCGATACTTTCGAAAAATTTACTTGAATATGCTATAGGTATACAGTGTCCAACCAATACAGTAGCTATGTTTTTAAAAGAATTCCATTGTTTGCGCCTGGATTGTGGCCAAGGGAGTTAAAGCAAAGATTCGATTTTGAGCGTAGCTGCGTGAGATGCTAATGAAATTTTCACAGATGAGATATAAGCTTAATTCTACCACTGTTGAAGTACATGAAGAAATCTCACCAATGATATGCAGAATCCACATCGAAAAAGGAGTTTTGAAGGAAAAAAGTTGTTCGGAATGTAGGCTTAGAAAAACGGACATTATTTCTGCAACAGCCTAATAGTTGATGTCATTTTTGAGACTACCAAATCAAAATGGATTCGTTATTGATTTATTAGGTTGTCAAGAAAATAATGTCCGTTTTTATTTGCTTGCTTTAAAGGCAGCGTCCACCCAGAATTTGGCCCCCCATGTTTTCGTCATTCTAGGGCCTTTCCGTGGCCCTGATTACAGTTCCGAGCTTCAAACTCTTTAAAATTCACAAAAAACCCGATTCTTGGGGACCCAGTCTTGAGGGCGCGGACGAGTTTCGAATTGCTCGTCCCCGTCGGCAGGCCAGCGGGAAGGAGCTGCAACTGCATGGGTGCAGTCGCATTGCAGTGTGCAGTGTGCAGCTTCTGCTCACTACCTTGTCAATACGTGTCGGAGGCACGTATTGACAAGGTAGTGAGCAGTCCCTGATGGGCGGAGTCTGATATCAGACTCCGCCCAGCCAGGGACTTTCAGGCTCCTTATCTCCATTCAGAGACAACGTTAGAAGACCGAACCAACGCAGATGCCCCTTTTCTGGGGCCTACAATCAGGATCGACACTAATCGGAGGGGGTTAGGTTTAGCCTGGACACTGCCTTTAACAAAGCAACCAGACTCAACCCAACAAAGGGTAAGGGGTACTGTTCGATAGAGCGAAGCAAGCTCTACAAGATGACACTCATGTCTTTGCGCCAAGCTCGATCCACGGAGAGTTCGAACTCAAAATCTAAAGATTTCCAAATGCTCAAAAATTCTAAAAAAATCAGATCGTCGTCCAGATAAATTCTACGGACCTCCCACTCGCGCATATCAATACTATCGATATCAGATATCCATATGTGCGATTGCTGTATTTTTTCCTTGACTAGAAACTGAGAAAACGAAAATTTCCCTGATTTTCTCAAAGCAATGCTGAGCCGTTTCTGCAAGTGTAGTTCTATACTACAAGCCTAGGTAAGTATAACTGTAGATTTTCAGCCCATTCCAAGCGGGTTTTCGAAAAATAACGAATTCGAATTTTTTCGTTTCAGTTTCAGTGCTAAAATCAACATTTCTCGAAAAGTACCGCTCAAAATAGGGTGAAAAACTACAGTTATGCTTACCTAGGCTTGTAGTATAGAACTACATATGCAAAAACGGCTCGGCATTGTTTTGAGAAAATCACGGAAATTTTCGTTTTCTCAGTTTCTCGTCAAGGAAAAAAAACAGCAATCGCACATATGGATATCAGGTATCGATAGTATTGATGTGAGCGAGTGGGAGGTCCGTAGAAATTATTTGGACGAAGATCTGATTTTTTTCGATTTTTTGGGCATGGAAATCTTTAGATTTTGAGTTCGAACTCTCCGTGGATCGAGCTTGGCGCAAAAACATGAGTGCCATCTTGTAGAGCTTGCTTTGCTCTATCGAACAGTACCCCTTACCCTTTGTTGGGTTGAGTCTGGTTGCTTTGTTAAAGCAAGCAAATAAAAACCGACATTATTTTCTTGACAACCTAATAATTCTTTTCAACTCAAGGGCCGGGCATACTTCACGCGACTTCAGTCGCGACGCGGTTTGGCAATTCGCCAGAAGTATTCAGATGCAACACTAGCAAACTGCACATGCACAATATGTATAACTTACATGGATTGATAAAAGGCCCCTTCCTCTGTACATTTGAATTGTGCTTACAGTGAGTTATGGACAGTTGGAATATTGCCAATTCGCGTCGCGACTGAAATCGCGCGAAGTATGCCCGGCCCTTTACACTGGGAAGTTGGCTAGACAAAATCTTGATAAAACCTGTTGAACATGTAGATGACATGTCAAATTTTTTTGACACGTGGCAAGAGGTTGACAACTATATCCTGAGAAGTTCTGACCAAATTTGATACAAGGAAAAAAGCAATATCCTTTTGAAGAAACGGGTCCGGATAACGGAAAAGTATTAAATATTCGATTTTCATAAGTGGCCTAATCAAAGTTTCAGTGACGTTGTTAACAGAATAACAACTCGAAAGCAAACTAAATTGCAATGAATTTTAGACAGTTTGGAGCGAACGTCTTTTTATGATTGTCTATACTTGTCGTGGTGTCTCGCAGCAGTGAAGAACCAGGTACTGTACCCCTCACCGGGTTCTGCGATAGGGATTCTACGGCTCTAAGCCGGAAATACAGAACAAGAGAATCGAACAACAAAATTACTACAGAACAACGACGAAAAACAACAAGGAACAAGACAAAAAAAGAAAGCCCGATCAAGGCAACCGCATGAGATGAGAATGATATCAAATCTGAGATCCTTCGCGGGAGAAGAGAATGCGGGTCTCGGCGCGCACTTCCTAAATATCCCTGTGGTTCCCGCCATAACTTCGCTTCGCGGGCTTTTCGTACGTCGATCTATCGAACGGCCCTCTCCACACGCTCCCCCCTTCGGGAGCCGATGACCTCATCGGCGGGTCATTCCTCTTTAATTCAGGCAGCGTCATCTGTTTCGCGACTCTTCTTCTCATGGCCTCGTACAGTATCTTTGCGCAGGCGACAGGAAGATCCGAAGCACTGTAGTAGAACAAACAGCTTTCTGATGCTCCTGCTTCAATCATAATCTTGCCGTCCTCCACCTTCGTTCCGGCAGTGACTATGCATTGTCCTGGTTTAGCCTGGTGCAGCAACGTCTGATCGAGGACTTCCCATAGTTCTATAAGCTTTTTCCATTCGTCCGCGATTTTCTCCATTAGAGGGGGCCACACAGTCACGATTTTTCCACCTTCTTCAAACTGCTGCACGCACGTTTTCATTACCTCGCATAAGTCACTGTTCACTGCCAGTTGGTCTTTCGGCCAGACGATGACCCATGTGCGGTATTCCTTCCATTCCTGCAAGACTTCCTTTAGCTGGGTGAAGATGGTGGCAACTCTTGTGAGAGCCTCGCTTCGGACCATCTCGTTCCAATAACAGTGCTGACGCTGGAGCTGCAAATGCTGTGCCGCCTTCCTTTACCGGTCCATGGCCTTGTTCTTCGCCTTCTAATTCCATTTTGGCTCTTCTAAAGGCTGCATCGTAGATCCTGTCAAACTCGTAATTATCGATCCTTTCGTGGCGCCTTATTCCTTCGTTTTCGCAAATGAATTCAGTCCAGTCGATGCATCTTTTATACGCCACTCGCAATAGTTTCCTCAATCCATCTGGGTCCTACAAACGGCTCCATCCTTCCAGAACTTGATCTTTGAGGCCATGTCGATGTCAGTCCTTGCGAAGATGCTTGCGGCTTTTCAGGCCTTCCACAGATTTCCAATCGGTTCTTTTGCCAGTGCTCCAGGAAACTTTATTCCTTCTAACTCTCCAAGACAGACTCTCTTCAAGCATCCATCCTTACACTGGTACTCGAGGTGTCCTTTTTCGGTTTTGGATGCAATCACCGCGCCTCTGGAAGAAAACATTGTTAATTTCTTTACACTAACTTTAGGTTTCCTCCCTCTTTTGCCCCTTTTAGTCACTGTATCTACGGGCTCATCGGAGATGTATTTTGGAACTATCCTTAACATATCAAACTGAACTTGTATGGGTTCCGTTTCTTCACCTATTCTCGTAATTAGCGCGGAATTTTGGCTTGTTTCTATTACACGAAATGGTCCAGCCCATTCTGACACTAATTTCGGATGCGTGCTCATCCCTTTCTCTTTAGGAGCCAAAAGGTATACCTTGTCGCCTACCTTCGGAAGTTTTGCGGCATCTACCTTATTCCGGTGGTCATACAGACGCTTCATCTCCCTTCTCACTCTGTCATTGTACTCCTTCACACGCTCATGTGCCTCTGCTACAACTTGCAATAACTGCGCTTTGTAATCCGCCATGTTCTCTACCATGGAGTACCAAGAGAACCCTCCACTTGGGATTACTGCTGAGGGGAAATTTGGGTCCATGCCGTGAAGCACAAAATATGGACTTTCTCCCGTAGCACTATGTGGAGTAAGGTTGTATGCCATCATGCAAAACGGCAGTCTCGCATCCCATTCCACTGGAACCACGAGGCTTTTACGCAGCATGGCCAGTATAGTCCCATTTAACCTTTCTGTTATACCGTTTTCTCGTGGATTATACCCCTTCGTAGTTACATGTTCGATTTTTGTAATTTTTGTGAGTTCTGCCATCACCTTATTTTCGAACTCTCCACCCTTATCAGATAATATTGTTTTGGGCCATCTACATCCCTCTGCTATTCACCTTACGAATAAAACCTTTGCTATCGTTTCAGCCGTTTTGTCCGGAACCGGATATGCTGCCGCATACTTTGAGAAGTGGTCAATGACCGTAACAGCATATCTGTTTCCGCTTGTTGTCAGGCCAAGTTCCAGCACGTCAATCCCTATGATTTCGTACGGCTTCTCCGTAACGATTGGTTTCAGCGGTGGTCCCACTGTCGCTCTTGGGTTATGTAGAAAGCACCGTTGACATTCTCTTGTCCATTTACTTATGTCTGCTAGCATGTTAGGCCAGAACACCTGTTTCTTGAGTCTATTCCTTAACTTATGAGCACTAAAATGTCCGGAAAAGTTCCCCGCATGTGCTTCATGAAACACTTCATATCTTGCGGTTTTAGGTACTACCATGACCAAATTCCCTTCCTCCTGATACATCTTCAGTTCCCCGCTTTCGATCTCGAAATCGGCTACTTGTATAGGATAGAGCAACCCTGGTATTTTTATCGATTTGCCCAGCTCTCCTTTTTCCAACATGGCAATAACCGGACCAAAAACCTCATCATTTTCTAGCTCTTTTAGCCACCTACTTCTTTGTTCTACCTCTAGTCTACTCACAACGGCCTCACTTGCATCCGCATTTTCCCAGACTCCACGCTCTATAGAGCCCCTACTTAAAGCATCTGCTACGACATTAGTCTTTCCCTTCACATACTTTATCACCAAATTGTATCTTTGCATTTCTAGTGACCATCTTAGTACTCTAGCCGATACGTTACTCCTACTGAAAAGCGCTGTCAAGGGTTGGTGATCTGTCAGAACTATGGTAGGAAGTCCGTATATGAACATGTGGAAGCGTCTTACCGCGAACACTACGGCTAAAGCCTCCAAATCAGTAATGTGGTACCGCCTCTCTGCCTTGCTGAGTCCTTTCGAGGCAAAGTATACTGGGTGTACTAGCCCGTCGTCCCCCTCTTGGGACAGCACCGCTCCTAACCCTACCGTAGATGCATCTGTGCATATCACCAATGGTCTGGATCCTTCCCTTGCTTTCTCAATATCCGGCTGCATCAATACAGGCGCAGAGGCTATCATTTTCTTCAGCTTAGAAAATGCTTCTTCATGCACTGCCTCCCATTTCCACACAGTTTTGGGTGAGGTCAACGCAAATAAACTCCCCGCCACCTTGGAAAATCCAAGGCAGAATTTGCGGTAGTATGATGCCATGCCGAGAAATGTTCTCAGCTCTTTGGAACTTTTCGGCACCGCACACCTCTCGATTGCTTCTACCTTTTTGGGATCCATGTGCACTCCTTCACAGTCGATCACATGCCCCAAGAACGCCACTTCTTCTTGCAACAAAGCGCACTTCTTCGCCTTCAATTTTAGTCCCGCTTCTTGCAAGTTTTTAAATACCTTACCAAGTAGCTCAAAATGCCTCTCTCGTGTGTTTGTACATAAGATTATGTCATCGATGTAGCAGAAAACTTCGTCCCCTAATACATCTCGTAGTACTGAATCCATAAGACGTTGGAATACCGCTGGACTTGTACTCAACCCAAAAGGAGTTACTCTGAACTGGAACAACCCTTCTGTTGTCGTAAATGCCGACTTCTCCCTTGCTTCCTGTGCCAGTGGTATCTGCCAGTACCCCGAACATAAATCTAGCGTGGAGAAAAATTTCTTGCCTGACAGGCTCTGTAGCACTGCATCAATCGTAGGCAGTGGATACGAGTCAAGCTTGATCCTTTTGTTCAACTCCCTGTAGTCCACACATAGCCTCAAACTACCATCCTTCTTCTCCACTAACACTGTCGGGAATGCCCAGGCTGAACTACTTTTTTCTATGATCTTCCGATTCTCCAGGTCTTCTAGAAGCTCCTTTAGCTTTTTGCGGATCCCTAGTGGCACGGGTCTGGTTTTCAGCTTCACTGGTTTAGCATCACCAGTTTCAATGGACATCTCTGCTCTGTCCGTTCCCGTCAATTCTGTGTCGAATACAGCAAACGCCTCCTCAAATTCGTCCACTAATTGTTTCAAGTCGCCATCCAGCTGCTCTACCTTGGAACCTTCCCTCAGCTGTGCATACAGGATGTTACGGCGTTCCTCCCTATCGAGGTGTGGTATCTCACTGTCCATCATTAGTGGATTCATTTCTTCCCACTTACTTTTCCACTTCTCTGTTCCCCATTGTCCTAACTCCTCTCCTTCTTTAAGGATCATTGGCTTCTCCGTGGTGTTCATGACTGGAATGTCCAGTTCCTGATTCTTCACTGTGAACACCCCGACGGGTAGGTCCTCCCTACTTGGCCACACTACCCTCTCTTCTAGTTCACTGCCTCCTTCACATCGCGCCGGCACTAGTATTGAGTTATGTGGAGGAATGTACACCCGCTTTGTTGCTACTACTCTTTTCCCGTCGAGCACATCCTGTTGCCTTTCCTCCGTTTTGAGTATTATATCGACTCCCAAGGCTGCCAATGCATTCGTGCCGATCAGTACATCATCACCCTTGACATCCGATATGTGGAATGCTACTATGCTCTTCTTTCCCCCTTCTAATTTTACAGGGACTTTAACAGCTCCCAGGAAGTTCATCCCGTTGGTCGAGGCGTCATATACCGGGTTTAACTTTCTGTCGGGTATCACCTCTAAAACATCTACGTCATAACCTGCCTTCTTCGCGCGTGCCAGCACCCCCACAGGAACAATGCTAATCATCGACCCTGTGTCCAGTATAGCTGGTACCTGCAGATTTAGCATGCTTATTTGGGCCGCACATTTCTCACCTACCAATGAACCTTTACTCCCCATATATACCTTAAGTCCTAGGCTCGTCGCTTTACCCATCACTTCGGTCAGGTTATCCTGTTTTCCGTTTTCAGGAACCCCTTAGTTTTCTCAATCTGGTTTACTTGCGTGCGCTTATACGGACACTCTCTCCCAATATGTCCATATCTTCTACAATTGAAACATCTTCTCTGATCCGTGCCTCCTCTTTCCTCAGGCCTTCCAAGCCCTGTATAGAGCTTTTCTTGACAAGCCGGCTTCCCCGAACAACTTGTCTTCCTCCATGCCACTCCTCTTGTAGCTCTATTTTGATCCACTTCCACACATCTACTCATATCTGTCCTGCTGTTCACAGTTATTGTCCTTTGTTCGTCTGGCTCTTGTAGTTCTTTCCCCCTGTGCTCATGGAACTGATACCTCTTTTTCCAATTGTACCTCTTAATTTCGTTTCCGCCGTCGAGCATTTCCTTTGATTGCTCTATGCTTAACGCTAGCTGCTTTACTGTATTATAGGCTTCCTGCGGCTCTACCCTGTGAATCGCGGTGAGCAGTTGCGTATGCTCCGGCCATCCCCTCAAATTATCCATCAAAATTTGTGCATACTCGAGTGACCGGTCCCCTACCGAAGCGGTAGGATTGGCTTGCCTTCCCAGCTTCTCGAGCACAACACAAAAATCAGCCACACTCTGGCCTTCCCTACGTTTCAGCTGCCTGAGGTCTGCTAATGCCCGTAACCTCCCCGCTGTTGAGTCGTTAGCTAAGAGTCTTTTTAGTGCTTCCACTACGCTTTCAAAGCCCCTCGCTTTGATTTCTTCTGGAAGCGCTAAAAATACACTTTTCGCCCTACCTTCGAGGTGGTCATCCCCCATAATCTCAATTAGTACCTCATCGTCCCTTATCACCCCTCGATATTTCCTTTTAAACCTTCTCAAAAATTCTTCGAAATTCTCGTGCCGGCCACCCCCTGAACACTCCAGGGTTCACGCATGCGTTGGCCTGCATGAGAGCTAAGAGACTCTGGGACTGACCTGTCTCCGCTACGTCCTGCGAATGCTGTCTCCAGAGCCACTTTGAGTGGAGCCCATTCTGTATCAGTGCGGACCTTGCTCTATTCTGAAAGGAATCCGAGTGAGTGCCACTACTACTGTATCCTTCCATATTGTTCTTACCTTTACTCGGTCCCACTTCCATGCTATCTTCCATTTCTCGTGGCTTGTTAAGCACACTCTTGTGCATTTCCGACAAGACATTCATTACCTGCAATACATCCGTATTGAACATCTCGCAAATATCATTTATCATTACTATATCTTTTTCCGATGTTCTAAGAAACTCTTCTAAATCTAATACTGACTCGATGTCCCTTGTGAGTAGTAGACTACACAAATTTCCCACAAAAAGTCTTATGTGGTTCCATTCCCCCTTCATTTTGTTTAATTCCCCACTTATTATCGTTGTTTGTTCTCCCAATACTCGCTCGATTTGTTCCCTATACTTCCCCGCTATTCTTGCATCTTCTGTTTTTTCCGCACCCCCTTGGGAAGTGTCTGTATTGTTTTCTGTGTGTTCTCCAATCTGTCTACCATATCCGTAAGTATTTCTTCTAAATTCCTGATACTCACCTTTTTACCCGGGGCGCTAACAGTCGCGGAACTAGCCCCTCTTGGTGTCTTTCTGGCGGCACTCGGACCTTCCGCCATCTGGAAACAATCAATGATTTCCTTGTCCGTACCTTCACGTTGCAACATTATTGCGAAATCTCAATCCCTATCGATCGGTTCAGCGCCCATGTACCCCTCACCGGGTTCTGCGATAGGGATTCTACGGCTCTAAGCCGGAAATACAGAACAAGAAAATCGAACAACAAAAACTTTACTACAGAACAACGACGAAAAACAACAAGGAACAAGACAAAAAAAGAAAGCCCGATCAAGGCAACCGCATGAGATGAGAATGATATCAAATCTGAGATCCTTCGCGGGAGAAGAGAATGCGGGTCTCGGCGCGCACTTCCTAAATATCCCTGTGGTTCCCGCCATAACTTCGCTTCGCGGGCTTTTCGTACGTCGATCTATCGAACGGCCCTCTCCACAGTACCATTTGAGAAAGTCATGAGCAAAATGGTTCTTAAACTTTCAGCTTATAGCACATTACCTGTCTTTAGCGTGTACACCTGTGCTATCTTTCTGATGAACTTCAGTCTTTGTAAAATTATCTCACAAGTTAGATGTGAGTTTAAAAATCAATTTTTTACATCTATACATATTCGAAACTGAGGTAAATTGTAAATTGTTAGTTAATGTGCGATTCATATAAATTTTGTCCGAGTTGCAGATAAGTTGAGCCTTCAGAGTGGGCACCACTTTCGCTCTTCGTTGAGCCAGTTAGAGCTGGGTGAATGCGGGCGAAGCCGTGCATGCCAGCTAGTTATTTATAATCAAAAAACCATTACGGCTTCAAGTTTGTGGAATGGATAGATGAATTAAAGCATTTTCTGGACATTTACGAGTCACTCTTTGCATCAGCATCTGACGTTCAGTATTTTGAACAGCAGCTATGTAGGAAGAGATGTAGCGGTGAGATCCACATCTGGCTATCGATACTCCAGCAAGTCCCAGTAACAGAAAAGGCAGTGAGGGTCATTGGTCGTCTGTAACGCTTTCTACTGTTTTCTATTATATTAGGATGACACCTAAGTAATGCGACTTTATATGTAATTTTTGTCTATTTGAGTATAGCGCATTCTTTTTTGGCAACATAAGAATTATGATGTAAATTGCAAATGGGATATTCTTGCCAAATTTTGCCATCTTATGTAAGGGTTACGGTAGGTTTATGGCACATGGGAATTTTTGAATTGCGTCATTTTGCTGAAACTTGGGCGATGGGAGTTTTTCGACTTTTGATCACAAAAATGAGACCCGTTTTGCATGAGCCTCTTTCGTGAGGTCAAAAAATGAATGTTATTTTACAAGGGAAGGATACTCAATCGCAGTGACGATTGGGTAAGCGGTGTATACCGCGTAAGGGTTACGAAAGACGTTATAACAGGTACTCCATACCTGTTATAACGTCTTTCTGTACGCCTTAGGCCCCGGACAGACTTCACGCAATTTGATCGTCGCGACTGAATCGCGACGAGACAACTGTTACAACATCATTCCATGCCGATCAACTTGCATTTAGGTTGTGATACTTTTCCAGGAAATTTTTGAATGTGAAATGAAAATGAATGGAAATGTCGGCGATTGGGTCGCAACGATCAAATCGCGTGAAGTCTGTCCGGACTCCGGGGCCTTAGACATTCAAGTATATTTGATTTCCATGATTACATATACGAGATTGCATCAAAGGCAAGGTGTCAGTAATTACCTCTTGAAAGCTTCTAAAAGCCGAAATGCTTTGCTCTTATCCCCATTATTCTCCACTTACGTTAGACCACTTCTTGATTATTGTACACCACTTTGGTCCCCCCCCCCCCCCCAAAGTAAGACCATGATACAAAAAACAGAAAAAGTCCAGAGATCTCTCACCTTAAAATTTTTGCTCGGAAGGGTATTTTTGGGTTATCATATCTCGCCAGGCTGGAGAAACTCCAGGCAACTATTTTAGAAGATAGAAGACTTCTTGCCGACTTAACATTTATGTACAAACTTACAACAAATGAACTGGATCTCGACTTATACGATGTCTTCGAGCATACGTATCGTACGAAATATACGAGGGGTCACAGTTTTAAGATTCGCAATGAAAAACCCACTCTTGCATCATATAAGCAGTGCTTCATCTGCCGCGTGCGGATGCTCTGGAATTCTCTAGATCCTCAACTGTTCAGGTACTCATCACTAACTACTTTCTACCATGCTCATGGAATACTTGAGATCGCGTAATCTAATGCTATCTTAGTACAAAGTGAGATGGCTTTATCGTCAGACAGTATCTCCATTCTTTTTTGTTTTTCGATTTCGGATCCATGTTTGTTGTGTTCTTTTTTTTTCTTTTTAGAACTCAGTCTATTTCGTGTAAAAAGGGTGTCCAAATGATTAAATGATATATGGCTGAAATAAAGAATAAGAATATTGCGCAGAAGCGATATGTATTTTGAGTTGCCGGAGGCACGCGTTGTTACAGCCCGCACCCTAGATGGATGCAGTACTACAAATTATCGAAATTGGAACTTTAATTTGCATTTAAGAAGGCTACTTCGATAAGCACTGAACCAGGAAATGCTCTGAAACTTTATTGTAAAAAGTCGCCTTAGATGGAGGAAGTGGGCCTTGCATTCGTCGCTGTGGAGTCCTTTAGACTGTAATAAGAATAATCATTAAAAAAGTGATTAAATTCTTGAAAATAATCGAGCACGGTCTAGAGCAGAAAATCAACGTACTCATACGGTATTGCAAAATGGTCTCGACCTCCCAAACCCTGCTGTATGTAATGACAGGTACCATGCCGCCTTCAGACCTGTAGATCTTCCCAGCATAAGCAGGAGAGCACAATCTGATGAGACAATCGATCAGCCAGCGCAGATGAGTGTATGGACGATTCGTAGCACGCGAAGACTGCAGGCGTGTCGGCGTCTCTCTGATCGAGCGCTCTTTCGTTTCTAGTAATATCTGCTGCCCATGCAGGAACTATCTTGGTCGGACGCAACGGCGTCCAGTCTTTGCGTGTCATGTATAGCGTACAAATTCTGTTTTTACCTAAATCCTGTTAAACGTTGATCTCTCTGCATTTTCAATTCCACGCCTGCCCAGTAGCATCCATCAGTGGCAAGACCATCCGTAAAGTTTCCGAACTGAATCTCAACTCTTCTTCCTCTTGGAGCCTTAACATGCGATATAATAACACAGAATGCGAGTATGCAAATGGTGTTGAAACCTGTATCCAGTAATGACATTTCAGATATTCATCGTTTGCCACTTCAGTTACTGCAGGGTCGCCAACAACATCCACAAACAGCTGTTCGTTAGATTTGGCATAGAGAATTTTTCCGCATCCTTTTGGCTGAAAGATTGACCACAGATGGAGTGACTATCTACAATACACAAAATTTACCCTTTCGTTGCAGAACCTGCCTCCATACCCTCCCGGACAAACACACTTTGAACAATCGCGAGGATTTGGGAAACCACCCATATGGCACCTCACCGTCGTATGCTTATGCTTGCATTTATCTGTATTGAATGCTTGCAACGTCATTAAATCATATTACCGTGAAAAGATGACAAATTTTTTGAATGTCGTTTTATTTTAATACAGTGATCAAGTAGCCATGTAATCACTGATGTATAAATGGCACCACCTAATCATTTTACCTTTGGCTTTACCTTTTACTCTTCACTTTGATTGCTTTTTTTGCCACTTCGAAAAATTGAGAAAATTTTTTGTGTGCTGATAGAATCGGCACCTCTTTCACCTCCTCTGATGATTACCATGAAGGTCATGCATAAGCATGACTTGCTGTGATACGAGCACCGTCACTGCCCAAAATATGTTAACTTACTTTGCCACGCCTATAATCGACAGCATTCTACTACTGCACTAATACGTGCACGTCGTCTGTTCATAAATCTACATCACATGTGTTCTGTATAACACTGGAGTCAATTACTCCCAATCAGGCGCTCATTCGCCTCGGGCCACAATACGGCCAAGGAACCACCGATACATTTTGAACGTTTCCCAAACTTGCGTTATGCCACAAGTCCTCGACCAAGGAACGAAACATCCTAAAATGCTTCTTAATCGCTGTATCTGTCTTAACGCTTCAATTGTCAATCTTTCTAGTAAAAGTTATTCAAAAAGGTGTTATTTTTGAGAGCAAAAATATAGATTTGGCCGATAAATTATTGGAGGGAATATTGAGGTATTTGCATACGCATAGTCAGAGTGTAGGAATTTGATGTATGGAAAAGATAGACCCACCACTCGCCGGCCTTGAAGGATATCATTAATATGTGTCTCAATAATTACTGCTGTCTTTTTGAAGCGCCAATATATCAAATTTGTTTGGTGATCCACTCAGATAATCGCCGGGGGCAGGCGGTCCGCAAACTCGCGCTTTTCTGCAGGCGGTCAGCAGAATTTTGGGGCGTGGCCAAACCTTCAGCGGGGGGTACTTCCGCGTTCTGCCAGCGGGCAGCAATACAGAATTTTCTGCGAGCGCTCGTCAAATAATATCTTCCAGCGAGCGCTGGCCAAACTTTCAGCAAGCGCTCGGACTCTTTTTAGGTATTTTCGGGCGTACGTCGAGCACAGGTAAGGCTCTGTGTGGTAGAGGTGTCACCGTTGGTTTAATTACTCAAGTCTGAGGTACTTTCTCTCAGCGGAAAGTACCTGGAGGTTGCGCGGTCCTCCACAAAGGACCGTGCGGCCCTCAAAAATTTTGCATATTCTCGCGGAAAGTCCGCGAGAATGCGGCTACTGCGCCGCAGCTAATCCATAAAAAACCGCGATTGTTCTACAAGCATTCGTCTTTAATTTTGCCAACTTTCTTCCAAATTTCTGCAAGCGGGCCGCAAAAAATCAACGAACTATTTTTCCGGTGCGCGCTTGCTCAAGATTCGCATGGCCGCCTGCCCCCGGCGGTTATCTGAGTATGGTTATCAAAAAAGGACACGAAACAGTTACTCTATATGGAATTCATCAAATGCTTTGGTGTGATAAAACTGAAACATATAATATATAACATATAACATATAATCCTTCGTTCGAAAAATTGAACTGTACTCAAACGTAATTTTATTACCTTCGTTCACCCTGGTATATTTGTCACAACCTGACCCACCGAAACAACTGTAGTGAATATTCATCATGAGCAGTTCATAGAAGGAAACAAATGGTGATCCTATCGTGTCAGTGTATTTTTCGTTGAAAGGCACCATCGTATCATTTCCATTAGAAGAGAAACTAGATAAAAATAAAGTACTCTAATTCAATCCCTTTAGTTCATACCTCTTTGATCCGTAGTGCATTACACTACCGTAGTCGTAAGGTAAGCCGTAATTATAATTTGTTCTCCTAGTCTCTTTTTGGAATTGGTCAAGCATTGTAGACTGAACTGAATTTTCTTTCTTGCTTCAACAATTCAAACCACTCAAAAACCTGGATATTTCTTGTGTCAATTTGAATGTATCGATTACGATCGTGTCTTGAATGCGTGTGAAAGAAACCCAAAGCGTGGCCTATTTCGTGTGCAGCAGTGCCTATCTGAAAGCGTGTGTTTGTACACTATATCGACGATCTCACTTGTCTCAGTAGTTTTGTCACTCACCGTCTCGCATCCGTAACCTAAGGAGAGCGATTGCACCTCATGTATATTGCCTACATACGACCAGCAACCCTCCTCAATTATCACCTCAATGCGTTCTTTTGCTGTAAATCTTCGTCCAACTTTCCATATTTCTATGTTTTTTACAACGCTCACCATCAGGCTTCTCAAAAAAGTTGAGACATGTATAATTCTGCCACTCCAACGCTCCTTTCTTGAATAAACCCTGTACACTTTGAGCTAAAAAACAACTTATTTCCAGCCTCAAGTGCTGTATAGTCAGACTTAGAAGCCAGAACCTATCATCTTGATAAGCGACGCTTTTCACCGGCTTCCATACTTCTAGGAGTCGAAAATGGGCATGGCGCGCGATCGCATTTTTCGGTTACGTTCTGTGACAAGTCGTGACAACTACACTCTGTTGCTAGGTCCTACCGGCAGTGCTTTCGCACACGCACATCCTAGCAAAGCAATCGCAAACCTATTTATCAGGTAAAGAACGAACTCCGCCGGATTTCAGCGGCCTCTGCTGGCAACTGGTCCTTTTGTTTGCAATATGGATTCATGTCGTTCCAGGACCAGTAATCTGCGCGGAAGCGGCGCGAACCTGGCGGAGTTTGTTCCTCCACTTTATCTCTAGGACGTGTGTAGGACGTTAAAGGCAGTGTCCTGGCAAAAAGTAGATTTGGGATTTTGTGCTTACCTGAGTCTATTCGCTATGCTGGATTCGAAAATCCACAGTGGAGAGCGCGAAAACCGCAAACTCTTTGACAAGCCTCAGGAATCAGAGGTGGGCAGATTAACCCCCTCCCCCTCTGTGAAGCTACTATCCCAGCTCCAGGAGCGATCTTCTCGTTTTCTCCAGCCGCCCTAACATCTTCAAAGGCCAAGTGGCCGAGTGACTTGCAATCGAAACCGAAACAGAGGAACCCCGCCCAACCCTGATTTCCCTCCATCGTTCTAGCCCTTTTTCGCCTTTTTACGCTTCTCAGTGTGGATTTCTGGATCCAGCATAGGCGAATAGGCCCAGGTAAGCACAAAATCTCAAAGTCGTTTTCTTGCCCGGACACTGCCTTCAAGTGAATAATTTTTAGCCTAAAACATACCCTGCCCTAAACGTCTGCCCTAAACGCTTACACTTTTACCGCCTACCCTTGCCTTCCCTTAAGAAAAATCACAGTCTCCGAGTTAGACCACATTCAAGTGCACTTCTGCTTCATGGCTGTGGCCCAAGACATGAGTCTGCTATAGGTCGACCGTTACGACCTGTCTGTTGTTTCTGCGTCTGCGATCCCTCCGTTAAAGCATTGCGCGCATATGAGCATTGCAGATTCCTAACTCTGCAAGCATGCGACTTCGAATCAACATTTTGGCCTAATCTTGACTGGATAGATTGTGATTTTTATTCAATCACAGTCAGACAAATAACTTGAACAGGAAGAGCGGGCAAAAATGCTCGTTGCATTGTAAGGATAGCCTACACCGCAGTAAGCAATTATCTCTTTATTTTTTGACAAATACGTTAGCTCTAGTTGTGTTTATCAGATGCGTAGCATGCGCCGGTTTGTTCGCGCAACCTTTTCTGTGTTATATTGTCTCATACGATTGCATGTGGAGCATTTTTTACTTCCGCTTCATCTCAGCAATTGTTAACTGATAGTTTTGGCATCCACACCTATTCAAAAGCTTTCATGTTATGGAGTAGTTTTCAGCATTTTCAGAAGCTGAAGCAATTTTTGAGCTTGGATTGGGTGTATGACTCTATGAACGATAGCATGTGCCAGCCGCCAGCTGGGTACCCTACGCGATGCGCTGAACGCTCCGCCCCCTGGTGAGTTAGCGTAGGAATGCGTTGCGATCTTAGAAGAACCCTAATATCTCATGCATGCTTCTTCTGCAATTTAAAATTCAAATTTTTAATAAATTCAAAAATCAGATTTTATTCATTTCATTTTATTCATTTTTCCATTTTTCATTTAAGGTTAGTTCGCAAACTGCTTTTCGATCTACTTCGCTTTCTTGCTCTTGATAGTTAGTCCGTTTTAGTTATTTCACTACAGCTCCAAGAAAAGTTTATTTTCAAAGATCTTCTAAAATGTTTTGAATTACGTTAATTACGTTTGTTCCTAAATCTTATGTTCTTCCTTATACTCTCAGTGGTCTGGTTCTAAAAGGGATCAACTTGTAGAATAAAAAATATTGCAGAAACATTCGGACAGCACGATCTCTAATTTTTATAGAAGAGGAAGCTTCAAAACTGCAATCATAGATTTAAAAAAACAGATTTTATTACAGTAGTTTCCAGCGAAAATCGAATTAGTTTGAGCGATTTTTGCTTTATACACAGTAATGTTGATTGATGTAGATAATTACTTTTGATAATTTTACAGGATCAAAAATCAGTCGTTTTACAAATGTTTGGTCATATTACAGAAATCTTTCAAGAATTTATAAGTCACACGTTACGAATACTATTGAAATCCGCTTCGACAAAGGAATGCTTTTATTTCTTTCAAAAATTGCTATCGTCGATACAAATCAGTTGGTAATTCAAGCGAATTTGCGTGTGACTTGATTAAAGACGTGAGGTCACTCAGGCAATTGCATAAGTACGCGCTATCGTTCATAAAGTCCGCCACCCCTTGGATTCCCATACGGAGAAATCAGACGGCAATTTGTTCGGATGCTGTTCTCAGTTTTGGTATCGCCACTTGTTATTCTTTTTTCGTCAGCATTGTCTAGAGATTTACAACATGATATCTCAATAAATTCGCTGTTGAAAAACCCAAAATTACAATTTGAACCCAATTTTTACAAGTCTGCGAGGATAGGGTCTGTTGTGGATTAACTGGCATTTGAAAAGCCTTTCCAGAATTTCTGGACATTAGACCATGAATGGGGTTCAGTGCTCGGAAACGAACGAAGAGACATCAGCAATGTTCTGAAAGGTGCTCAAGATGTCAAGAGCAAAAAGTGGTAGGAAAAGAAGTGCTCGCGTTTGGCGGAAAATTTATTCCTAAGATTACACAGATTTTCATTCTTGTGCTGCGCGCACCGTTTTCAGCTGCTCTTTCACGTAGTAACAACGGTTCTTGGAGTCCCTTTTAAAAATAATTTCAAAAGTAAAGTAACTTCGAAACTCTCGAAATAAGGGTGTTCGTACAATCATGAATCGCACTCTACTTACTTGCATTGAAGAATGAGTAATAGACGGTTCCATTAGTCCAGAGATATTCAGGGTAGTACTCGTCTCTGTACGCTTGTCTTTCTTTTCTGTCGCGTCTTTCTCTTTCTTCCACAATCTCGTTGGCCTGTCGCCTAAAATCACGCTTATGGTGCCCGACACTGTGACTAATATTCCTACTCGGTCAGCACAATGTCGCCCTGGTACAGTAAATTCCATATTCCATTCCTCTGGTTTATTTTGTCTATTGTATTGTCAAATTCTATCGGATGGACTTTGCTCACAGCCACAAGCTTCTTGAAAATACGGGCACTATGGAGCGCTTTGACTAAAAGTTTGGTGGAAACAGCTCAAACTTGCCTGCAACCTTTGGTCTAAAGCAGCTCTTTGTTGTGGAGTTAGTTCAAGCTCCTTTTTAATCTTTTCTTTCATTGCACGCATTCTTTCCCGAATTGCCAGAAGGCGATCCTTGTTCAGTGTCTGTATAACAGTTATGAGATGAATTTTCCTCATGCTCAGCTACCGTTTTAATTCTACCAAGAGCTCTTTTGATTGTCTCGCTGAAGCTGTCGGACGCGCCAGCACTGATGCATGCAGCAAAGAAAAGTAAGAGCAGTATCTTCATTCTGAAATCAGATAACAACTCAAACCAAAACTCACGCTGGCAACCGTATACTATTCACGATTTCATGAGATCTAAGATGCTTGTTCCATCTGCACTTTCGATTTATTAAAAGTTCAGTTCTTCGCGATTCGGAGGTCTAGTTGAAAGTAATAGTAAAAAAATGACATAGGACTAGGTTTCACGTTGGGTAAACAATAACAAATAGTACTCTTGACCCTCTCTAGATCTCATTTAAAGTTCTTTCCGACACAGTCAGTCAAAATCACTGCTCTAATCTCAAACAAAAGTCCAAATCTCACGCGAATATACAGGGTGTCCCAAAAAATATGCCTATTGTTTGATTGTCAATTCTCTTGTCGTGAAGTCTTTTTTTTTTCGAAGAGCTGTTTGAAAGGAGGCGTTCTTTTTCCTTGGAAACCGCGCAATTTCCTAGGAAATCAGTGTTTATTGGAATTTAAGAAGATTCCAAAAAACAGTTCAAATACCTACATTTCCATGCCGATTTCAAAGTCGCGAAGACGGTTTTTTTGAATGGTTTCCACTTTTTGATTTCTGGCAGCACTAAAATTGCAAGATTCTTTGGACTACAACTAAATTCGGAATCTCCAAAAAAACCTCAAAAACACTAAATATTATTCTGATCTAAGGTCACGACGAATATGTCCAGATTTGTTTATTGGACTCTTAATCCAGTCTTATTCATGCGATTATTTCATTTTTTATTTTTATGTTTTGCTTATTTTTTGCTGCAAAATACTAATAAACTACAACTTTTCTGCCGTCCTGATCGATATACAATTTGTGGCAGTCGCGCGACCTCTGAGGGAAATTTCGCACCTCAGCGCGATGAGGTGCGAAGCTGCTGCGAAAATCTCCCATCGAGAGGTTGTGGACGACGAAAGCGCGCTTACGGTAGCTCAGCCGCGGCGTTGGTGCCAGTTCTGGCGGCTGGCTGCGGCACCAGGCGGCTGCCTGGGTAACACTTGCACGCCTCCCTGAAGTCTTTCGAGAATTTTTAGGTACCACTTTGTAGGGCTGGTCTCAACTTAAATCTACGTTATGGAGCAGATTACCGGCGGCTCTCCGTTACTGTAGGCTTATGGTAGGAACTTTGAAGAGGGTTTTGAGTGATGAAAGGCCATATTATACCTCAGAAAGGAAGCAAAACAACTTGAAAACTCTCACACCAGGCAAATTTGAGTTGCTGTTTCTAAATATAAAGTTCGCAAGTTATTATAATGCTTCAAAAAAAGTTATGCGAGGTAAACAGTCGGCTTTTTTTCAATGTTCCTAAAAGCTCTCATTTCTTTGAAAATTTTTGAAAAGCCAGTTTTTCTCATAGTGACACCATATGCTCGAGGTTTCTACCGTAATTTTACAGTAATGAAAAGAGTTCGGTGAATCGCTTTATAGTATTTATCTAAGTTGGAGCCAGCTCTACAAAACGGCACCTAAAGCTTCTCGAAAGACTTCATCACAAGAGGGTTATTAACATTCAAACAGTAGGCACATTTTCCGGACGACCTGCATAAAAAGCGGCAAGTGTAGTAGCGCGCAAATGGAAGTTGTTTATAGCACAGTACTGTTTTACAACAACAATTAGGCCAACTCATAGGTCACTTATATGAGTAACCGAACCGATATACAAATTCATTTGCTTTCCTAGATAAAAGGAAGTAAAAAGTGCAAAAGAGCAGTAGAAAACTGTGCAGGAATATAATATATCTTCTAATCGATGCTTTGGTGCCATCAATTATCTTTCAAAGCGACTGTCTTTCTTCTCTCTTGCCCCCCCCCCCCCCCATTGCAGCGCTGTTGAAAATGAGTAGCCTCGCGTGATAGATACCGCTCAAAGTACTTGCTCAAAGTGACCAACATTTTAGCAGTTGTTAAGATTACTAATCTCTTATACATTGCTGATGCGGAAACCACAAAAAATGCTTCAATTCATGTACTACTAGCGGTTATCTCTTTTATTCCAGTGTAATACATTCGTGGTTAAAAGGAAGGTTCGATTTCGTGTGATAAGACAAGCCACTTTTGAAAAAAGTTTGAATACTTTTTTTTCTCAAGAAAGAAGAACTCCTGCGGAGTTGCCCTAAATGACCGAGTATGATTACGCACGCTTCGCTTCACCATGCAAGTGGCAGAGCATTGTTATACTTACTCCAATCATCATGGTAACATGATGATCAGAGTAAGATTGGAGTAATGAGAGATCTATACTAGAGGACGCGGACATTGGAGTTATCTAAAAGGCAAGCTCATACTGAAAATGCTAAAAAAAGTTGCTGCACAATCGCTTTTTATGAAAGGATTGATGGTATGCGCAGGGGAGAGGTGTTTTACAACACTTCTAATTGTAGGATTTTGGGAACTTTCCATAATCTGTACTACACTCAATAAGACTGAGTATCTGCTGATGAAGCAAAGACGACAACTATTCTTGACAAAGGTGCTTGAACTTCATTGTGAGGAAAAAGGTACAAGGAGATTAATGGCTTAAACACTTCGAAAATGCATGTAAGTTTGAATCAGATTGCACTAGAAATTAGATATTTCCGTGACGTGTTGTCATGACAGCGAAACCTCAAATAACGGTAATATTATTTCAAACAGTTATTCTTATTGATGTTGCTCTGAAGGGAATGGTTAGAAGTCGGAGAAGTCAATCTAAGCATGCTGCCTACCATTTTATGCAGCATTCAACGCTGATTTCAAATCTGTATTCCATATCTGCTTAGCGCATTTAAGAACGAAAGCTATAAACCGTTTTACTGCAAAAAAGTCGTACATAAAAATTGCGAAATTGAGTACATTGTTGCACTTTCAGCTCACTTTTAGGATTTAGGAATATACTGTAAGCTAGCTGCATGTTTAGGCCCAGCATTAAGCCGAACATGGATCTTTACTGCCAAATGTGCGTTTTGCATGCACGATTTGCTAGCAAAATAACGGCAATCAAAGGCTCATAGCTTCGCCCACGGCGCTAAGCAGATATAGATTACAGATTCGAAGTCGCTTTACGCTGTATCGGTTCTTGCAGACAACTATGGAGAGGACAGATCTGTGAACAGAACCCTAAGGATGCCATAATTAAGTACATTACAACTTCTTGAAAAAGCTGCGGGTTTTCAACTTTTGAGAAACAAAACAGACATAAAATAGACTGATTATTCATGCCTAAGCACTGTATATATATTGCTTTCTCATGATGCTGATGTAGGATCTCTTTGTGACAACGAAAGATCATTCGGAATCTCCACAGCGTTATGCAAACACAAACGTTTTGCTACATGTGAAAGCAGAGGACACAAATTGGTGTGTGAATAAAATCTTTTCTAGATATACGGTGTTTCAAAGCAAAAATTGGGACAAGAACTCTTCCGGATAAGCTCAGCAACTCAGTCTCGGTCAATCTTCTTCCGATTTTCATTGTCACATCTGCTTCAATAAGACTAGTCCTTCACAAAATTGATTGATTCAAAGATTGATTCGAGCATCCGCGTAACAAAGCCCGATTTCGAAACCTTTTTTATGTGCTTATTGAAGGGAACATATTATACATATTTACATAGCAAAGCGGCCGAAGAAAAAGGGTTGTTACCGTATTGCAATCGATACTAATTAACATTTGTTCAGCTTATCACTAGATCTTCTCGGCAATATCAGTATCAGGTCAGAAAATTTTTAGGAACTTAGGCTGCGTTTATACTGACCCCGAAGTTCAGGAACACTTCCAACACAGCGCTCGAACTGCGCGCTGTGCTGGAACTGTTTCCGAACTTCGAGATCAGTATGAACGCAGCCTTAGAGGCCTACGCCAACTCCGACTAATATTTTTAGCATAGCGAGACGGTTAGAGAGGTATAAAGCAGCAATCTGCCAAAATGCGTCATATACGATATAGTTAGCACCGAATATTTTTCGAATATTTGTATTCGAATGATTTATTCGAACTAGAGAAGTCGAATATTCAGGAAAATGCACTTATTCGATCATTCGAATAGGCGAGTATATGCAAAACACTTTTATTCGAATGTTTGTTCATTCGAAGAAATGAGTAAACAACTAATTCGAAATATTATTCGAATATTCGAATATTCGAATAATTTTCGAATAAGTTGTTTATTCAATTCGTCGAATAAGCAAACATTCGAATAAACGTGTTTTTCATTTACTCGCCTATTCGAATAATCGAATAAGTGCATCTTCCTGAATATTCGACTTTGCTTTACACGAGAAAATGGAACAGATTCAAATATGTGCGGGCTCACGCGACCCTGGAATTAGGGCTCAGCAGAGGTGGCCTTTACACGCTGGATGTTGTTTCAAGGGGGAAAGCAAAGGGAACCCGCAAAGTTCCCATCCAGAAATCTGATGAAATTTTGAAAAGCTAAATTCAACTCTTAACCCATTGACGAAGACGTCTAATATTGCGTGGCGGCGCTGTGGGACGACGCGATTTTGCACAACATTTGCGGCGCGGGGAAGTTCTGTGATTATTTACGAAATGTAAAAATGTTTTATAAGCAACTACAGCCATCTTCTTGGACGACAAAGTCTGTAGATTCCAATAGTGCAAAGAACTGGAAAAAATGATGAACTCTGGAAAAAATGCAATACCACCCGTAATTTGTGAAAAAAATTGGCGGCGGCACCTAACTCACGCGGCGCTTGCCGCCTAACTGCGGCTGCGCCGCGTGTGTTAGGTGCCGCCGCCAATTTTTTTCACAAATTACGGGTGGTATTGTACTAGACCTGAAAAGAATAATTTTGCAAGGTATGGGCTACCGGTGGTCCACATCGTCCCTGGCGGCAAAAATCATGTGGGTCACCGGTGGTCCACATCGTCGTCAATGGGTTAACAAGCCCGAATTTGAGGGTTTAACGTAATTTCATTATTTACAGGTAAATTAACTCATTACAAACAGACTAGTGTCTGTTTGCACACGATTTCAACGTGTCAAATTCAATCTTTACGTACAAAACCATAAAAAATCGATTTATTGAGAACGAGTAAGCAATGTTGAACCACCAAATTTGGTGTGTATGTCCGCAGCAATGATCAAAAGAAAAGTTGAATTTATTAAAAAATTATGTGAACTAGAAGACTTGTAAGTGTTTTTCAATTTTAGATTGCTCTCGCATAACCTGAGAGTACTCTGGTTGCTCGGGACCAGAAAAAGTCATGCAATTCTCCCCTTCCTCACATAAATCCGTATTTTCAAACATAAACCTATGATTTAGATCAATCTCTACCTATGAGTACTCACCTTGACCGAAGTTTTGCCCTAATGCTTTGTTAAGGCTCTTCATAATATAAAATAGCTTTTTCTTCGCATTTTGCTTTTCAATCTTTGATTTATCTTTGCATTTTCTTCATTACATCCACTTTCCATCAACATCACAATCCACTTTTTTGTTGCAGATTATTAGAAAACCTTTCCAGACATTACAAAAGGTATCTCGTAATTTTCTGCAATGTCAAAGGGGACTTCGTTTTTAGACTTCTCACAAGCCACCCCATGCTGGGTCCTGTCTGGAATCAAAACGAAACGTATTCGAAAGGTTTTTTCTGTCATGCTAGAGGGGACCGAAGAGTACATTAGACTACATTACCTAACTATGGTTAATCCTCTAGCGATGATATTCAAAATCTACTATTGCAAAGAGTTCTTTTGTAATCAGCTGCAAACATCACCTTTCTTGTGTACAATACGAAGACACTATTTATTCCCGAAAATTTCGTTTACATGCGCACTTTCAACCCCCTACGACGCCACAACTCAAAGATGCAATGTGTCAAGCACATCCTATCATTAGTCTTATTTTTACTCAACGAGGTAGATACCATTGCATAGGAATGTATCTAGATGTATCTTGTGATGTATGTATTTAGGAAGAGTGTCTTAAGCTAGTCGCAGTAAATTAGAGCATTCTATCACTGCAAAAATGGAAAAACCGTAGCTCCCCCAATTGAACATTGACTTTCACTCTTGCCTCATTGATTGCGACATTCACCTATGTTCCCGGTCTTCGACAGCTGCGTTTTCACATATTCTAGGCACGAAGTCGTGCCTCCAACAAGGAAATGAACTTGGTGACCTCGGACTTTTGCAATGAGATGAATATATCAGTATGGCTTGCTAGCTTGCCACTGCCTAAGAGGGTAACTCCATTTACTAAACACAAACAACATAATCATTGTCAAGGTGTACTTTGAAAGAACATGCATCGAGTCAAACTGTAAGGTAAAAGCAGTTTATTGCAGCATTAAGTTCTTTACAGCATAAGTATATTCTTTTCAAAAGCTGCTTTAGTTGCAAATGGATATGTTTTATGCGCAAGTTTTGTCCCTGAAATGATTTGTAAGCTAAAGCAAGTTAATAAAGCGAAGTTAAGTAAAGCTTACGGCCAAGAGCCTTATGAGGTTTACGGTCCTCTTCAGATATTGAAAGAGCAGTGTTAACTTCGTCTTGTAGTTTTCCAATTTCCCATTCGTAGCGGTCCAGGAACGATCCATAGACTCGCTTCAAACCCGCTGCACACTAAATACTGTTATATTTGAGCAAAGAATTATTAGTGATAGTTTTTCCGACCTCACTAAATAGTCCGTAATAGTCTGGTCTGTCTTGATATCTCAGCGTTCGCAAATAATCATAAATCTTAAAGAACTCCTCAGGACATGACTAAAAAAGTACACTTATTCGGAATTCCGCGAAAGTTGACAAATGGAGGCTGCGATTCTCTAAGCAAGATTTGAACGCTTCCAACATAAGGCATAGACTAGCAACAAAACTGAGATAACACTTCTGTAGTGTAGTCATAGCCAAAATTGGAAAAAATTAGAATATTTTTCTAGAACACTAAATTACGTCACTCCGTTTCGTTCCTTCCCTTAGACGGAGTTTAAAATGAGTTCTGGGTCTCCCCGGAACTCCTCAGTAAGGAAGGAAGACCCAGAATCATTTATTATCTTACCTGTGTTTTCCTTGTAGTTTTAGTAGTGTTCATATTGAATATATTATATAATACAATACAATAATGTTGAATTGACGAGACTCATAGATATGTATGACCGTATGATTTTGTATATATGATAAAATGAAGTCATACTTTGATTTCTTATGTTTATAGTTTATAATTTGTCCTTGGTTCATTTCATTTTCAACAAAGTATTGTTATGTGACTATTTTCGTTGATATTAATGTAGATATCATGACTTATAATAAGCCGCTTATTCGTCGCTCTGTAAGTCTGTCTGTTACGAAAATACAGTGAGGAATGATTTACAATTCTTTGGAGCACGTGAGGTTCTAATAGCGAGTATGGTTCATTTTTAATTAGGACTCTCTCACCGCAGTCAACCTGGCAATAATCTAAAAGAAAGCCTTCACATCTTAAGTTTACCATTGTTTCTTGATGGCCAGTGCGAGCCTCTGCGAAGCAGAGGTGAAGCAGTGGTTTTATATACCCTAAAATCCCGCCAATAAGTCCGGCCTTATCTATTTCTTTGACACAAAAAATTGATAAAAAAATCGCCTTCTGCGCTGCCAAAAGTCTAGCAGAACTGCTGCGGTCTGATGGGAAAATTCATCTGCTAGACTTCTGGCAGCGCAGAGGGCGATTTTTTTATCAATTTTTTGTGTCAAAGAAATAGATAAGGCCGGAACTTATTGGCGGGATTTTAGGGTATACAGGGTGTCCCAAAAAATGTGCACACTGTTTGATTGTTAATAACTCTGTTGTATTCATGTCTTTTACCGAATATGAAGTACCATTCTTCAGAGCGAGATTCAACTCAAATTTACAGTATGGAGCAGCAGCCCTTCATTACTGTAGGATTACGGTAGGAATTTCGAGGAGGATTTTAGGCCATTGGAAGCGGTCTTTTGCCTCAGAAATAAAGCCAAGCAAGCCAGGAACTCTTGAACTGGGTTAATCGAAGTCCCTGATTCTAAATATGAAAGTTGCACTTCAGTATACTATTTCTTTCATGAGTTATTTCAGATTTAGGGCAACACCTAATTTTCCAGTGTTCATTAGAAAAGTGAATACGCCATCAAGAAAGCTCGAAAAACTGGTGGAAAGTTATGTATTGAAATCAGCACGCCTGAAAACCTTGCTACACAAATTTTTGGATTTTTTCCAAATTATTTCATCAAAGGGCTTATTCCACAGTGACTGTATGCTAAAAGTTCATACCGTGATCCTACATTAATGAAGAGTGATTGGTGATTTGCTCCATACTGTAAATCTAAGTTTATCCTCGCTCTACATAATGGTACCTCAAGCTCGGCAAAAGACATGAAAGCAAGAGAGTTATTAACGATCAAACAGTGTGCACATCTTTTTGGGACACTCTGTATATTAGGTCGGTGCAAAAGTTTTGTGAGTTTTTTCAGTCCGGCGGCAAACACGTTAAAATGAAGATGAACTAACACTTCGAAATGTAACCGATGCAGAATTTCTTCCTTTTCCAGCTGCTAAAATCTCATTGTGTTTCGTTGCGAGAGTGACGAGATATTTGCTGAAAATTACAACTACTCGATTTTACCATGTCCAACATTCACTAATTTTTAAAAATTTTGTATGAGACTTTCGTAGTAGTCCTGATAACCACCAGACAGGGCAAACCTTTTGCCAACTTATGCAATTTTTTCCTTTCTTTTAACTGCTTTTTCAGATTTTTGCTAAATAATTTTCTATAAGTCTTGTGTTTTGGAAAAATCGCATAACCTGTTGTTGCACCAAACACTGCAAAACCTACAGAATACTGAGGTTTCAACACACGATTATTACTACCGCTACCATTACAAAGTAAACGAGCGATTTTTGCTTCAAATTACGAAGATTTCGAAACATAGGTTACGTCAGTGCACACCCCTGACATTGAGAAATACTGCGATTTGCCCCACAAATTTCGCCTAGCTCGGCAAAAAAGACAAGTGTTAGAAAGAGGAGAAAACTGGAGTGTTTAACATTTTATGTTCTACGAGGTTAAAATAGGCTGAATATAAAATTTGGTCACTCCAAAGATTATTTCGCAGAAATTCTGAAAGACAAGCCGTAGGGCTACAAAAAATTGCTTCTGTTGGCAGAGGGTTTGCCCTATCTCCCGGTTATTAGGGTTCCTCCGAAAGTCTCATACAAGATTTTTGAAAATTAGTGAAAGTTAGACATGGCAAAAACGAATGGTTGTAATTTCCGGTAATTATCTCGCAATTTTTTTTAACGAAACACAACGGGAGTTTAGCAGCTGGAAAGGGGAAGAAATTCTGCATCGGATACATTTTGAGTTACTAGTTTATCTTCATTCTGACGTGTTTGACGATGGAATGAAAAAACTGACAAAACTTTTGCACCGACCTAATATACAGGGTGTCCCAAAAGTAAGTACACACTTTTCAATCGTCAATATCTCTCTTCCTAGTGTGTCTTTTTCCACCATTTAAGTACCATTGTGTATAGAAGGCTTCAACTTAGATTTACAAAATCGAGCAAATCACCGATCTCTCTTCATCACTGTAGGATTACGGTAGGAACTCTCGGCAAGGTTTTTAGGCCATTGGGAGTCATATTCTGCCTCGGAACAAGACCAAACAAGCCAAAAACTCTTATACTATGGTAGTGGAAGCCGCTGATTTTGAATATGAAACTTTCACTTTTCTGTGATGCTTCTTTTAAAGTTATCCCAGGCAAACCGTAATGACCGATTTCCCAGTGTTTGTCAGAGTTGTGATTACACCGTCAAAAAAGCTGAAAACACTTGTAAAAAGTTGTGTAGTGGAATCAGAGTGTGCGAAAACCCTAGTATGCATTTTTTCAGATTTTTTGGAAAAAATTTTCGTCAGATAGCGTATCTCACAATGGTTCCATATGCTGGAAATTCTTAACGTAATCCTACAGTAACAAGAAGCAATCAGTGATTTGATCGATACTGTAAATCTAAGTTGAGGCCTCCTCTACAGAATGGTACTTGACTGGCAAAAATAGATGGGAAGAGAGATATTGACGATTGAAAAGTGTGTACTTACTTTTGGAACGCCCTGTATATATTAGGTCGTTTCAAAGTAATTTCGCTTTTTTCAAACGAGCGCCACATTTGATGGAACAAAGATTTCTAAGAGGTCTTGGAAGCATTCGACGCAGAATTTCATTCTCTTTCTAACGGTTATGAAACTTTTGCAAAACAATCAATGAGCTTTCAGAAAATAACCAAAATCTGCGACCCATGCTTTTAGAGATGGTCAAGTTTCACGATTTTTTAAAACTTTCATATCAAACCTCCGAAAAAGTCCAAGTAACGCCCTTATAAAGCAAACCCTAGAGAATGCAAAACTACTTTTTTCTCCTTTCCATAGCTTGTCATACATTTTTAACAGAACTGATGACTTTAACTGATGCTACCGATTTCCATACTTGGACAGCTAAATCCTCGTAGAACATCAACAGAAGAGCAGCTCGCGCATTATTCGATGCAGCATTTTCTCCTCTTTCTAACAGGTGTTTTTTTTTCGATTCGTTTAGTTTCCGGGAAGAAATCATCGTAACTCATTTTTTTAGCGAGCCCCAGGCTGTACCCGAAAAACTCGAAATTTGATATTTTGTATCCGTAAACCTTCACTTGCTTTGTAAAATTAATGCTAACTCATAGTACCATCTTGGTAGTCTCAAATCCCGAAAAATTATGATGTTTGATGCGATTGTGGCTGAGGTGGGCCTGCCAAAATCCGATGGTTCTGTTTAAGAATCTTTTAAAAAATTACGGCGAGTTACGAAAAAGGAAAAAAGTAGAACTGTATTCTATGAGGTTTACTCTATCGAATCTTTATTTGAACTTCTTTCGAGGATTGATATGAAAGTTTTAAAAAATTGTGAAACTTGACCATCTCAAAAGGCATGGGTCGCAGATTTTGGTTATTTTCTGAAAGCTCATTGACTGTTTTGCAACAATTTCATAACCACTAGAAAGAGAATGAAATTCTGCATCGAATGCTTCCAAGATCTCTTAGAAAACTTTGTTCCATCAAATGTGACGCCCTTTGAAAAAAGCGAAATTACTTTTGAAACGACCTAGTATATCAGGTATTTTTACGTATTTCTAGAAGTAATTTAATTTGTTGTTCTTTTAGTAGATTATATTCATAAGGTATAAATTCGTTTCTTTTTAAACATTCAAATATACTAGATATAATTGTAGTAATATCATATCCGTTTTTAATGGATGTATATTTGAGCTGAATATTCGAACCAGAAAGTCTTCAAAGAGGGAACATGTACGTGCTATTCTTAATGCTTCCGTGTATATTATCGCTCTTTTGATATTGTTAGATAAGGAAGAAGTAGAACGAATGAATCTTTTAACTGGAAAATTGAAAGCATCAGTTTTGTTGTATAATTTAGTTGTTAATTTATCTTTACTTGAGATGATGGTTAGGTCTAAATAGTTGCATGTGTTTTCGGTATCGTTTGTTGTCTCAATTTGGAGTTTATAATCATAAACTCCTTTAATCCATTTTCGTACTATTTCGATAGCTGCATTGTGTATTACTAACAAATCATCCATATATCTATAAAGAATCATACGTTGTTTATATTTTAGTCTTTGTATTGAATATTTGTATTCATACCATGATAAAGTGAGATCTGCTGAAATAGGACATGTTTAGTGCAACGTAAAACTTTGCTAGAGCAGCCGTCTGTCTTATCGCTGTCATCTAGTCAGAGTGACTTCATTGCTGCATGCTACTGTTCGTTTGTTAGCTTGATAAAATCACTCGTACGGAAGCGGCACGAAAATAGGATATTTTTCCTAACCTGTTGTAGAAACAGCATTTCAAACTACGAGGCTACAGTGCAGGGACGTCAAAGCTCATACGGCAAAGGGCGAATTACGATCACTCTGCCAAACTGAGTCAGTAAACTGGTTCAAAGAAATCCAAAATAGCCTTTTTTAGAAGTGTGTGATGGTTGTAGTTACATGGATGTTCAATCGATCAAAGAAATTTAGAAACTTCAAGCTTTTTATGTCTTAAAGTAGCTGATCAAGCATTCAATTCAGGTATGGAGTGTACCTCGATGTCGGACACGAGTTTACGAGTCCACTCCTTAGAAGACGTACGATGTCGCTTTTATTGCTAACTCGCACAGTGAATACTTAGAAAAAAGTTTACAGTTTTTGGTGGTGCTGCGTAGTAATCCCCAAGATGCTATGGTCCCAGTCCCACCCTTCAACAGATCTAAGTCCTGAATAGGCGATTCAAAAGCCCATCACCGACGCCCACTCAACGCGATTAGGCGGAAGGTGGGAATTTATTCTCCAAATTGAGCTCTCCCTACTAAAGCTCACCTTGACTTAAGTTTCGTCTCTCTGCTGCTACAGCCCTTGGTGAACAAACAAACGCTTTGTTCGCCCGTTGTTTTATCTCTCATTTTCTTTGTCTCTTTTCACTTCTATCCACTCATCGCTCGCTGCAGGTTATTAGGAAGAGAGGAACAAACACCGTAATAACCAGGCACCGCCTCCACGGGCTGCTGGTCCTTTCGTGCCACTGTTGTGCAGCGTGTTAGGACCAGTAGTCTGCGGAGTCGGTGCCTCATTGAGGTGTCCTCTCTTCTACCCGATCATTAGCCGTAGAGTTCCTTCATACTACGCCGCAGGTCGCAGCAGCCTGCCACAGCCGCAGTGGCAGTGAAAGTACGCTCAAGGCAGCACAGCTTCGCTGTTTATCGATGTATCCTCTATACTTGCTGCACGTTCGTTCCTCCGAGTGCTCCTTCGTGCGTGCAATGCTTCCTCTCTGTTACCTTGTCTCATCGTTGATCGAAGGTTGATCGAATGACTCTTTATTCAAGTTGAATTTGTGTGTTCCCTCGATTACACCAAGGTTATTTCGCTTTTGTGTCAGCGACTTTAATGCACTACTTTGTTTTTACTCATGAGATATTAGCTTTTTGCAGTACCAGTGCATCACCTCTGTTTCGCGGAGGCTCGCACTGGCCCTACTTTCCGTATGCCTTACTCATTACGACATGATAATGACATTGAAACTCATCGCGTTATGCAGGCTATCACGAATGATTTGTATACAACTACTCATTCGGAGAGCTTTTTTATGTGAGATCGCTATTTTCGCGTGGATGAAACTTTTTCAGAAGAATAAATGCAAATTTGAACCGGTTTTTGGACTTTTTATGGTTTGGTAGTCACCATAACGACGATGATCGCCGTGGGCTACATCTTTGTGCAAAAATCTCCCCAAATGATTAGGCAAAATCGTAGCAAATTGAACATTTACGCAAGTAATTCTTTTTGGCGCCATTCTCGTAAAGTAATTGCCTTTGGTTCAATTTCTGGGCTAAAGTAATGGCCTCCACATTAGCTTGTCAAGCTGTCCATGACTTCGCAAAAAGTGGTGATACAGGCCCAATTTTGCTGGCCAGAAGCCAAAAGGATCCATTTGACGCGCAACTCTAAAGAGATCTACTCGGCGGATCCGCTCGCGCTTTTTGCCTTTGGACTTTCACGCTGGAAGCATGCGCCATACAAAATTTGGGCTCATGACGTTGACTAGAACATGCTTTACGAATTTTGTAAAACACACACACACATACATACACATACATACACATACATACACATACATACACATACATACACATACATACACATACATACACACATACACACATACACACATACACACATACACACATACACACATACACACATACACACATACGCACATACACACATACACACATACACACATACACACATACACACATACACACATACACACATACGCACATACACACATACACACATACGCACATACACACATACACACATACACACATACACACACATACACACATACACATACACATACACACATACACACATACACACATACACATACACACATACACATACACATACACACATACACATACACATACACATACACACATACACATACACATACACACATACACACATACACACATACACACATACACACATACACACATACACATACACATACACATACACATACACACATACACATACACATACACATACACACATACACATACATATACACACACATACACACATACACATACACACATACACATACACATACACATACACATACACATACACACACATACACACATACACATACACACACACACACACACACACGTAAACAACCCTTAGCCCATTATTATAAGCCTTGATTGCTTCATCAGATTCTACATGCAGTACGGAGCCCTAGTATGAGATTCTGCAATTGAGCCTGCGGTGGAATTGCGCAAAATCCTGCTTTGCTGCCGTGAGCGTATTGTCAATGCGACTGCAGCGGTGCACGCCGCAGGCTGCGACAGGCTGCTGCGCCCTGTGGAGTAGTACGAAGGAACCCGTACTTACAGAAACTACAAACGGTAGTTCGTAATCATCTGCGATGTCGAAGGTCGTTTCCAAAATTATCGAATGCCACCTCGCGCTGAACCCTGTTCACAGATTTACAGTCAATTTCAAGTAATTTTAGGCGGAAATTGGACTGGCGGGAGTCCGCTTCGCAACGACTCGCGCCGCTTTGCAGTCTGCGTCTCTTCATTCTAATCTATATCGCTGACCCAGTAGCGTTGCGGACGCGCTGCTCCACTTGGAATGTTTCGCCTACTGCGGGTTGAAAAAGACTGTAAGATCAGCGTTTCTTGCTAATAGCGGTAGCTCAAGTCTTCAGATAACCAGACCCTCTTATAGTGAGTGGTGCTACTGGTACAAATAGACAACGGTTTGCGAAGAACATCGAGGAGGGAACTTGCGTGCGATTAAGCAGAGTAAAAATGTTTACCATTATGAGCGAAAACTGTGATATACACAATCTCACCCGAAATAATTGTTTCGGCGTGCATCGCGACTTTCTTGCGAAGATTTCCTTTTCGTCTACAAGACGATTCCAAGGCAAACCGACATGAAGTTCAACAAGCATGTAAAGCCATGACCACAGGTCGTCAACCCGTCCCTGCGATGTCCACTGAATAAAAGATTGTATCTGCTAAAACAAAAAAAACCTGTTCTTTTCTAAGATGAGTATTTAAGCTGCAGTATCTAGGTGTACCGCGGAACAACTGTTCGCCTTCTCTGGGTTTACGTATAGCTAATTGTCCAGTAGACTGATCTTTAGCGACAAATGATCGAGCCATACCTATGTAAAGTTTATAGCAACTACGTGCCATTGAAAACTCAATTCACCAAAATCAATCAAGTATATCATTCTAGTGTCCCTTCCGTACTTGCCAATCATGCAATTTCCTGGCTTGATGTCACGATGAACGTAGCCAATTTCGTGCACCTGTGGGATGAGAATGGTCATGCATGAAGTACGAAAAAATTTTATTTATGAAGTTGAATGTCTATATGTATGTATGTCCGTCTGTCCGTATGTATGTTACATAAAGGAAACTCCACTTCTGAACCTATCTGGACCAAACTTTGCATACATACACCTCGGGTGGGGCGGATGGCCTAGGCTACATTTTTTTTATCGATTAATATCGATTTTATCGATTTTTTGCAAAGTTGGAGCTACGGGGCTGGGAGTCGGCACAGGGGGATAAGTGAGCATGCTGATATATTATTGACAGGGCCGGCAAAACCGAGTTTGCCAGTTAGTTTGTCATAACATAGATTACAACAAGTATTCATAATAAAAAAATCCAGCAGCAATGCCCGCTCACATGGTATATGTGTGTGTGTGTCTTGGGACCGCTTTACTACGAGACAGCGCATGTCCGCAATAAAGTCGAAGCGTCTTAACCTCACTGAAACCTTTTTTATCTTTGTTTTCCTTTTATCTTCGTTCCTTTTATCGCGTAAAAACGCTTTCGAGATCTATAAGGCTATGCGATTTTGCTATCTGTGCTGAACAAATTATCAGTAAAAATAGTTGAAACTGAGCTTCCCGTTCTGCGAGAAGTCACGTCGCAAGTCCTTAATTATTAACTCGTTGACGACGAGCCATTTTTTGAGGTCTATCCCTGTATGCAAGACGTTTCCGTGCATCCCTACGCCTGGCCGCATATATGTATGCATGCATCCATGCAAGAAAGATAAAATGTGCAAGCCCCGCCCCATGTGGCAAGCTCCGCCCAAAAAAGTCAGAAATTGCCCAATTTTCAAGAATTCAGCGAATTCCGCCACTTCTGAAAAATGGGCGGGGCTTGCCACTTAGGGGACGGAGTTTGCCTGAAGGTGGCGTCATCATCCTGCCGTGATGATCTACCTTCATGTGTTTCCCTAGCGGACTTGACATGCTCTCCCGTATTTTACTAGACAGTGTTTATTAATTCGCACGCTGAGTTGACAACCAGTTTCTCCTATGTAGATGGCGTGGCATAGATATTCATCGTAGATAATGCCTAACTTGGTACAGTCTCCCATCGTCCCGTGAGGAATCGTGAAAACGACGCAATCCCTCGTAATACAGGCTGTATCGTATAAACGATTACGCACTAGCTGTCGCTTGATGTTGCTTCGAAGGATGCTTACGACAACAACATCTTGCTCCAACTGAGCTTCTATTATGCAATTCTGGAAAGCGTGCTTTACCTTATCGGAGATAAACGGTAGACATAGTGGGATTCTGGTACAAGCTTGGCTATCATCATTATTTGCGGTGTTTTTGAAATGTCTAGACCTCAATGAGAAGTAAGGAGTACATTACTCTTGATCGACTGCACAATGCTCAATTCGACCACAGCTGTGCAACAGAGTCATTCGATGTAACGCCAATCTACACGATCGTGTCCAAAACGGTGACGCTTTACAAGCGCTTTTTGAGCTGTTTTATGCCCATGGTAATACAATTTCGATGTACGGGCTCAGTAAAGCGCGTATAATGACTCTAATCAAGGAATGTCTTAACTGTAATATCTTCAAGTGGTCTGGTACATACTACTCACAGTTAAGAGGGTTGGCAATGGGCCAAAGATTAGCACCTATACGCTAGCCATCTGCTTCATGACAGAATAGAAAGACCGCTGCTATTACGATGCCCACTTTTGTACTCCCGATATATTGATGATTGTGCATTCTTCAACACAGTCCAAAATGGACGAGTGTTTCAAAATTTTGAATCAACAATTACAGTACATACTAGAGAAGCTCCCCGAAACGGCTGGTTTCCGTATTTGAACACCCAGCTAATGTTAAGTAACGATGCGAGTAAAATGATATCGCAAAGAGAGCTCCAAGAGTATCATCTTATACGCGAAATCAGCCCATCCGATGACCGTAAAACGAGTAGTGCTGCGGAACATGTATAAAACGGCAAGAGAAGTCTGCAGTGGGAAGAGTGAACGACAAGAATCCCTCGAACTGGCGAATGAGATAGCAGCTTCCAATGGTCACTTCTCAAGGTCTAGACATTTCAAAAACACCGCAAATGATGATGATAGCCAAGCTCGTACCAGAATCCCATTATGTCTACCGTTTATCTCCGATAAGGTAAAGCACGCTTTCCAGGATTGCATAATACAAGCTCAGTTGGAGCAAGATGTTGTTCTCGTAAGCATCCCCCGAAGCAACATCAAGCGACAGCTAGTGCGTAATCGTTTATACGATACAGCCTGTATTACGATGGATTGCGTCGTTTGTCCTCACGGGACGATGGGTGATTGTACCATGTTAGGCATTATCTACGATGAATATCTATGCCACGCCACCTACATAGGAGAAACTGGTTGTCAAGTCAGCGTGCGAATTAATAAACACTGTCTAGTAAAATACGGGAAAGCATGTCAAGTCCGCTTGGGAAACACATGAAGGTAGATTATCACGGCAATAACTTAAGTATCAAGTGCACCATCCTAGGTCACGAGTTGAAAATTGCTGCTCGCAAAGCGCTTGAAGCGGCAGCGGCATACATTCTTTCGCGCGAACCTAAGCCAAACGGACAGAATGAGCAGTTTCCATCACTTGATGCCATTTCTGTCATATTGTCACTTATAGATAACATGTCCACTACTACTTAAGCTGTCCATATCGGTCAGTTTTAGTCTATTACCACCAGTGAATCTCAACATCTGCTGTTGCCTGGTTGGTAGAGATCTTGGTACGCTACTTACAATGTATTGCCTCAGCGGGTTTGCTCCTAGGTTGAACTGAGCCAGTTGAGAAGAGAGATTTGACAGTACAGAGTGAAAAACAAGTGCGAGGCTTTCTTTCAGGTCTCTGAGGAAGGCATTTTTGCCGAAACGTTAGACAAAATAAAGAACTTGACAAACCTACGTGGCTTACAACATGTCTCATGAATTCAAACAATGCCCAGGTTTCATGCTCAGAGGATGAATGGAATATCTTAGAACTGTTTGAAAAATAAAGCTAAGCGGACCCATCTTAACTTGTCTAGAAGCCACAGTAGCAAACGAGTTTCGCTATCCTTGTATCTGCCCGGACGCTGCCCATATGTACGGAAGCGCGGCATCTATTCTTCGCATATATCATAAAGAGAAAAGTTTGTCGTGGCAGCCCAAAGCGTGGCGGTTTTTGATAGCGAGATAGTACGAACAACAATGCTGTAACGTAGACATTTGACAAGTTTATCCTTGTAATCAGGGAAAGTCTCCGCAACCCGCCTCTACACGAATCGTTGAGCCGATCATAAATTAGGACGAAACTCTTGAAGCAACAAAGTGGCGGACTGGGCGGGGGGGGGGCGGCCCCCCCCCTCACCGAGAATGGGTCGCGAAATTTTTGAAATTTACTTAATATGCAAGTGACTTGTTTATTTTTGTAAACAATTAAAACAATTTTTAGAATTTTTTAAAAATCCAATTTAGTCATACAAAAATTTTTCGGGGGCGTGGTGGGGACCCGCAAAAATTTTGAGAAGCACCCCTAAAAATACTTCGGAGTGCATGGCTGACGCACCTTCATTTACAAAAAAATTTTGCCGCGCACCTCCACCCCCCGGACGGAAATCCTGGGACCGCCACTGAGGCAACATAATACCGAATCCTTACTGAATTCACCTGCTTTATGGCATACAGAGTGCTGATCGCTAATCGAAGTGTAGTTGACTCCGAAAACGGCCTGGCTGATATTCTCTTAAGAGTCATCAAATCTTTGCCACAAAGAGTCATGACCATAAAACTGTAAAATTTTGAAATACTTTAGAAAATGCGATGCCTGGCCTACAATTTCATAAGTTACCAATATTTGTCCCGTTTTCCAGAATCATACAATTTTACAGTATCCTTCATCTTCTGCAGCTTTTTGAGGATGAACACTTCTAGTTTTAGTACACCGCCTTCATACGAATCATCTTCCACCTAGAATACATCAGATAGCAAAACGACTCATCATTATGACTTACCTTCATCGCGGCGAAAAAGTTTTTGCGATTTTTGTCTTCCACCTTATATACAGCCCCCATACCACCCTCACCCAGCTTGCCAATAACTCTCCATCGTCCTCCAACAATCTGCATCAGTTTCTTGTGATTGATCCTTTGATAGAGATTACATAGAGAACGCACCTTCCCAGCAGGAAAAGCTTTGAAATCTTCATGTGCCGGCATTTGCTCAAACGGCCAGAGTAAAAGTAAGAATAGTAATAAATGAATCACACTGGTATCGGACTCAGTTGAATAACAAGTATAATGATTGGTTGGTTCGTATAAGGCCCCGGACAGACTTCGCGCGATTTGATCGTTGCGACTGAATCGCGACGAGACAGCTGTTACAACATCATTCCATGCCGATCAACTTGCATTTCGGTTGTGATACTTTTCCAGCCCGAAATTTCTGAGTGTAAAATGAAAATGAATGGAAAGTCGGCGATTGAGTCGCAACAATCAAATCGCGTGAAGTCTGTCCGGGGCCTAAGGGCCGGGCATTTTTCACGCGATTTCACTCGCAACGCGATTTGGCAATTCGCCAGAAGTCTTTAGACCCAACACTAGCAAACTGCACACGCATAGTATTATAGGCCGTCCACGCAGAACGCCGAGAGTGCGCAAGGTGCGTATTGCGCGTCATTCCTCTTTTCTCGTGCATTCTCCCTGTTTTCTCTGCGCTTCTTCCAGTCGTGAACTGCCTTCAATGTACGCAACAGCGTTGCTCTCCGTGCGCAGAGCGGACGGCCTATACGTGGATTGGTGAAATGCCATATCTTCTGTACATTTGAAATGTGCTTACAGTAAGTTATGGACACCTGGAATATTGCCAAATTGCGTCGCGACTGAAATTCCGTGAAGTATGCCCGGTATAGAGACAGGTTGCGGACATCCCCTGACTATCATCACGACTTACAATAAAGCGCTAAGCGTCTGTCTGTTTGTCTGTCTGTCACAGATTTATACAGCGAGGTGCAGCCAATGTCTTGATTTAGAATTTTTGTCATAGCACCCTATCAGCGTGAAGGCAGAGTGTGCAAAAGCACATGCAGTAAGTAGAACCATTAAAAACTGTGCACCAAACAGATCCACGCACTTTTAGGCCGCCAAGGGTCCCTGGACTTATCGCAAAGTCGTGTGTTTGTCCAGCAAGTAAATCCGAAAAACATTGATTTCGGCCAAAAACAAAGGTCTATTTTTACGCAAAATTGGCGTCAAAAAGATGCAATTGTGCAAATAGCAATTCGCCAAGTTTTCACTTTGAAAACTGAAAAGATTTTTGAATGAATATGTGACCCAAAATGATTGTTCTCATTATGACAACTATAAACTACTAGCCAAAATAAATTCAGTAACTTATTCAAAATCACATTTGTTCTTCTGCGGGAAGATTTTTTCCTTGAAAATTACCGATCTTACATGAAAAAGCTTTAGAAATGAACGATTGTTTACAATCCATTCATGACCGGCATCGCGCGGTAAGTTTTAAAGTTATTATTATGCGATCACGAAGAAGGCATTCGGATAGTAAAGCCAGTGCGAACCTCTGCGAAGGAGAATGACGCACTCTCAGATAATCGCCAAGGGCAGGCGGTCATGCGAATTTGAGCAAGCGGGCACCGGAGAAATAGTTCACTGATTTCATGCGGTCCGCTTGCAGAAATTTAAAAGAATGTTGGCCATTTTTTAGAGGAATGCTCGGAGAAGTATCGTGGTTTTTCTATAGATTGGTTGCGGCGCAGTGGCCGCATTCTCGCGGACTTTCCACGAGAATGTGCAAAAATATTGGGGGCCGCAGGGCCCTTTGTGAAGGACCGCACAGCCCGTAGGCACCTTCCACTGAAAGAAGGTACCTCAAACTTGAGTAATTAAACCATCAATGACACCTCTGCCACATGGAGTCTCATCTTTACTAGGCGTATGCCCGAAACTGCGTTAAAAGAGTCCTAGCGCTGCTGAAAGTTTAGCCAGCGCTCGCTGGAAGAAATTATTTGCCGAGCGCTTGCAGGAAATGCTGTATTGCTGCCCGCTGGCAGAATATGCGACCTTAAAGGAAGTGCCGCCCGCTGAAGGTTTGGCCACGCCCCAAAATTCTGCTGACTGCCTGCAGAAAAGCGCAAGTTTGCGGACCGCCTGCCCCAGGCGATTATGAGAGCTGGTGAATTATAATAACGGACTAAGGATGTCTACGTGTTTTTGTATGTATGTGTCTGTCTATCTGTCTGTAACGAAATTTACAGAATCGGTGCATAGAAGATCTTAAGCCGCAATTCTTTGCACAACACACATTGTCACATCTAGATTTGCCAGGCAAAAGCAGCGGCAGATTCATGGACCAGGTCCATCAAAAACTGCACATCGAACGGATCCCCTCAACTTCTGTCGCGCAAAAATGGGCCCGTATTACTACTTTCGCAAAGTCATGGTTATGTTTGGCAAGTGAATGTGCAAGCCATGAAGGTGATTTTTGCCGGAAATGTAGCTCACGGTAATAACTTTCCTTATGGCGACTACCAGCTCATAAAAAAATTGGAGAATTATTTGAATTTGCGTTTGGTATTCTGTGAAAAGTTTCATTCCGCGAAACCGATCTAACATAAAGAGCTTTCGGAATGGGTGGTTGTTTAAAATTTACTTGTGATAGTGAGCATTGCGCCGTGTGTTTTAATGACACCTTAAGGGCCGGGCATACTTCACGCGATTTCAGTCGCGACGCGATTTGGCAATTCGCCAGAAGTCTTCATATCAACACTAGCATTCCGCACATGCATAATGTGTATGATTTACGTAAACTGCTAAAATGCCCTATCTTCTGTAGGTTCAGAACGTGCTTACAGTGACTTATGAACAGTTGGAATATTGCCAAATCGCGTCGCGACTGAAATCGCGTGAAGTATGGCCAGCCCTTTACGTGAGAACGAGTAAGGCCTTGGGCAGAGTTCATGCGATTTCATCGTCGCAATTCATTGCGACTAAACAAGTGTTACGACTTCATCGCATGCAAATCTTCTTGCATTGCGGTTTGATAGCTAGTCACGATTAGTCGTGTTGGAAAACTGTCACAACCGAGATGCAAGAAGATCGGTTTGCAAAGATAGTGTTACAGTTACTTGTCGCGATCAATCGCGACGATCAAATCGCGTGAACTCTGCTCGAGGCCTATTGCATATAGATAGTAGAACCAGTGCGATACTCAGACAATAACTCGGACGAGCGGCGAGCCTTAGCGGCTTTCCGAGCGAGCAGCGAGCTTTGATCTGTGGGCGCAGCTTTCTTGCGGACGAGCGCTTACCCTCGCTACCGAGCTTGAGAGCCGCGGACCTTGATTTGACCAGGGGAGGAGTGCAAGTGGTACCCGGGCAGCCTACTGCTGCCGCAGTCAGCCGCCAAAGAGGCCACAAAGCCGCTGCGGATGGTACAGTAATTACGCTCATCGTCTAAAACTCTTGCCGAGAAGTTTTCTTGCACTCGTCGCTCTGAGGTGCGATATCAGCCTCAGGAAAGCATGATATCCTCGATATCTACGTCGTTGTAAATAGCAGAAAATTCATGTTTTTTGAAAAACATGCAAAAAAACAAAAATAAACAGAGCAGGGTTTTCTAAAGGAAGATGATAACCAAATCAACCACTTTAAGAACTCGAAGGAAGCAGAAGCTGAAAATTAAGGAATTCTCAAATTTCTACAGATTTTTTTTCTCGCTTTTACGTCGAACGGACGAGAACTTACAGGAAAATAGCATGGATATAACGAAAAAAACCCTGTCAAAATGTTTATTTCATACATAGTGATGTTAAGAGAACTAAGCAAGGAAAAGTAGGTCAATCAAATTAAGTAGGTCAATGATAGCTTGTCATCCTCGATATCTACTATATCATTTTGAACAGCAGAGAAATGCCATATTTTACTGAGAACCATGCAGTCGAATACAAAACTACACCGGAAAGTTTTCAAAAACATAAACAATTAAAAAATGGATGAATAGGAAATCAAACAGTTTTTTCGGTTACAAATTTCGAAATCAAAGTAAGTAAATGTCCATTGACGGTATAGTTTTGAGGATCCTCAACTTTCCAACGAGGAATTCTTAAAGATCAAATTTACTCTTCCATGAACTCTTCAGAATTCGAAATGCGGTTTTGTTGAAGGGTTGTCAAAGATGGTTCTTTCATTTTTGAACTTTTATTATTTTGCAACGAGTTCTAAACTTCGAATTTTTTTCGTTGTTATTTCTTTATTTGAGTTTTCTTACCGTTATATCCGTGACATTTTCCTGTAATTGTTCACGTCCTTTCATGAAAGCGAAGAAAAATTTTTAGAAATTCAAGACTTCCTAAATTTTTCAGCTTTTGCTTCCTTTGAGTTTTTGAAGTGGTTTGATTTTGAATCAGCTTCCTTTAGAAGAACCCTTCTCTGTTTACCTTTTTTATTTGCATGTTTTCAAACAAACATGAATTTTTTTGCTGTTTAAAACGATATAGATATCGAGGATAAGAGGCTTTCCTGAGGCTGATATCGCTCCTCGGAGCGACGTCCATTGACGGTATAGTTCCTCTGACCAGCGGCGGCCCACCCCCTCAAGCGGGTGGACGGCGTACAACAACACGTTAAACTAACATGGAAGTGTTTATCTTTATCTTGCTTTTATCGTCCTTTCACAGTTGCTGCTATCTTTGGTTTGCGTCTCACACCTGCCACTGTGGCTCAAATGTTGGGAACGTGGCAACAACATGTTTGCAACATGCAGCAACATGTTGGCGTGGCCAAAATGTTCTGCCAACATGTTGTGGCATGTTGCGAACCTGTTGTTGTTGTCGCCACGTTGCCAACATGTTAGCCACACGTGGCAGGTCTGAGACGCAGACCAAGAGGAGCAGCAATTGTGGAGGAGACGATACATCATTTCTATGTGCGAGTCATTCTCAATTAGTGTTATTGCGGCTTGAGGGCAGTCAACTATCAGTGGACTTCAACGATAATTAGGTCAGTGTGCTCAGACAATTATGGCGAGCAAACGCCGCCCACCCACAGACGACGCCACCCCATCCCGAGGGCGTGGGGGATCAATAACTGACCGGTAACCACGCGACAATGCCGGCGGATGACCCGATAAGCGCCCAAACAGCGGCAGCGGGTGGCCCGGGAAGCGCCCGATGAATGCGCAATATGCACCCGCGGATGCCTCGATACACCAGATAAAGCAATCAAGTTCATAAATATCATTTCCAAATTTTAAAATTTTCTCGGCCACTTTTAAAATCTTTTTCGGACTCCTGTTCATATTCTTTGGCCTTGCATGAAATCCACGATCACTATATCAAAGTTTCCGACAGCCCACCTATCCGACCATGTAGTCCTATGGAGCTCAATCGAGACCACATTGATGACCAAGAACTTGAGCTACTTGACTTTTGCCAAACGACGCAACTGTGTACGTGAATTCTGCAATCGTTTCGTTTTCAGTCACAGTAGTGGGTCCTGTCATGGACGCAAATGCTGAGGGTAGCCCTATCACCGCGGCCTATCCCACGCGAGTAGTATTCTCTCTTATATCTATTGTGGCGTCCAGCAAGACCCGGGGCTCGCCGGAGTGATATTATCGGGCAGTCGCGCGCGGCTTGCCCGAGAAATAAATATGCAGTGCGCCCAGTAAGGCCCGGGGCTCGCCCTAGTTCTCTTCTTAGGCCGCGGATGTTCCGATAAAACTTTGGAGGATCGCAGCCCGTCCCTAGCAATAACATTGAGCCGCGGGTGGCCAAAAAATAAATCTAAGGCGGCGGATGGTCAGCCCAAGAATTCAAGGCACACGCACCGCCGAAAGCACGTTAAGGGCCGCGGGTGCTTGTTGCAATAATCTCTCTCTAAGGCGTCTGCCCCGCACACTGAAGGATTCGCGCCGTGCGGGTCCTTCTACCTCAGACACTGGGGCCGCACGAGCCGCGGTCCCAAAAGGCCTTTCTTGCCCGCCAGCGGCCTTATTTTGGTCGGTTGCGGCCCAACCGCAGCCCTTCGTTCATCCCAGGCAGTGGCTCGGGGAAATCGCGACTGGAAGCTCTTCACCACTGCGCCTTCCAGACCAGCTGAGTCAGGTACTGTGCTTGAAATGTTACAAAAGTGTTTTTTTTTTTTGGAGTTTACCGGCCTGGCAAATTGCTGGAGAGGAGAAGCGCACAATACCCAACTCAGCTGGTCCAAAAGGCCATGTAGTTGTAGAAATCCCCCACACGCGATTTTTCTGAGCCATTGCCCTTAATGATGGGGCGAAGGATTGCAGCGGCTGAGCCGTGAACCAAAATCAGGGAATGAAATGAAGGCCCCGGCTCTGCCGCTCCTATAGTGTCTGAGCATAAAGGATACTTGCGTGATGTACGCCGCATGGTCAGGCTGCCCTAAATGTCCATAGACTTGAATGCCTTTTCAGTTTCCCAGGCATGAACAAAATCAATATGTTGTCTTGAACAATCTTAGATAGTATCTTGGCGTTATCCAATCTTAAAGCGGACGTGGTTTCCGAAGTTGCTTCATAGATGGCTTTGATTTTTGTTTTTTAACTTTGTATTTTCTTAAGCGCAACTGAAAAAAAGCAGTTTCACTGTCTATCTGTGTCCGGCTTGAAGAATGAAATTTTGATGATGCGGACAAGTCGAGGCTTATCGCCGGCTGAGCTAAGCCCCACTCTCCGGCTGGACCACAAAAGCGCGAAATTCCAGACCAAGCAAGGCCGCGGCTCGTTTGCTCTTAATGTCTGAGACAGGCGCTTGCTTACATACGGCTGGCACGAACATGAAGCCTCCGTGCATGCGCCAAACAGTGAGATTTCTTTTTAACCGGCACATATGATCGGCCGGCAGTACTATTGTCAGCGCGAGTGGGCAGCAAAGTGCCCGTCTGCCTGTGGTTGTGCAAGCGGCCGACAGTAACCTTCATCTTTTCCACGCAACTCTCACGCGCTGTGAGCGTTAACGGTATCTACGTGAGGCGACACAGCGTTAAGGATGCCCTTAGTTTTGATATCTCTTCCGCCATCAATCCTTTTTCATTGACAAGCAAGACTCGCAGGGGTTTGAGGGTTATGAGGAAGAGTGGGAGTGTGGCTCCTTTTTGAAGATCTCGGGCCAATGCTGCAAGAATTGGCTCACGTTTCCGGGGTTTGAACGGAACCAATACAATTCAAAACGAAGTTATCAAGGCAACTCATTACGCTCACAATTACCCTAACAGCAAGCGAGCGGTCTACTTTCCTCTTCAAGTGGAGAGTCGGGACGGCTGTGACAGCCTACAATTCCCCTTGAACGCTGCTGCACTTGGGCACTTGTACACGGATACTTCGACTAATTCACTTCGCTAATGCAACGACTTTACTATCGCACAACTTTTGTTAGTGGAATACACCTCACTTGACTCTACTCATTTACTGACTTTACTCATGTTTCTTCATTTGAAGTGACAATCCAGGAAGACACCGAAGAGGATTCGTAGTGCACAATCATTTTGATTCTTTCCCTATTATCTACGTTCGCAGAAAGAATGCTCTAGATACTAACGTTACTATTTGTGTGCACAATTGCTCAAAGCTACGGAAAATACATGCGAATTCCTCGTTCAAGCAGGTTCCTATAAAGATTTCATGACATTTATGAAAACACCAATCTAGGTCAGTCTAACGCAATTAGCTAAGGATTGGCAGGAAAAAAAGAAAAGGGGATGCATATCAAGATTTGTTCCTTGTATCGGTTTTTGCTGGAACGAGTAAGTTTCAGAAAGATTTGCAAGCAAGTGTGCGTTCTACAAAAATGCATCTAGATCACAGAACCCCCAGAAAAAATCCAGAAACTCTCCGAGCGAATGAACTAAACCGTAGGAAGAAATAAGACATTAAGGAACCTCCTCGAAGAGATTGAGGAGGTGTTGAAAGGTAAAAGACAAGTTAGTAGGGGCACGGTTTGACAATAAATATTACCACTACTTAGATTTTGGAGAAGATATGCTGGGTCTTGGGCATGATGAATCAAAGCCCTGGACGGGCGTCAATCTTGAATATTCTAAGTGATCTCTTAAAGATCGGGAGTTGTTGTGAACTACCAAATAATCATTAAAGGTTTTACAAAAATCTAGGAGAGACGGATGAAGAAAGAGACAAAAATTTGAAAAATTAATACAGCAGCAGAAGGACAACGCCCTCACCTCTCTGAGTGCCTCAAATGTCACTGCGTTTTCACCATTCTGCATACTCATTTCTCAAATTCAAGCGAGATGTGCGGTCTTACAGTTTCGAGTCGGGGAAATGGGTCTCTAGCGATGTGAGAACTTTACAACAAATAGGCAATTTGATAATTATTTTATGTGCTTCAGCGACAGAAGCGTGCGGCACCAGGAGATGAAAGCTTCAGAAGTCGGAAAAAGAATGAGAAGATTCTAGAAAGAGATTTTTGGCTCCAAACAGTGCATTTTTCGCTTACGCATAAATGCGTGCTTGCACCCTTTTTGCCCTCATGAGAATGTAATTTTGTTGTTTATTTTGTTCCGGTTTATTATCTCGTACTGTTTCACTTCATAACGCTGAGCACATGCTCATTGCATTTGCTTTTGCATGTAGTTAGCTTTTGATAAAATATAAGTTGAATAATTGTTTGTATATATTTATCCTTCTCAAGAATTCAGGGCCTGTAGTAAACCCCCCGGACGTCGTGACGTATAGCTCGGAGTATGCTGTGACATGTGCTGACTATCATGGAGCGAGGCTGGCAAAGCGGCTATCCTTTATCATTGCCGGCGGATGCAATCGATGCGTAGCGTCAGGGTAGTCGCACTTTGTCGCGATATGTCGCGACATATCGCGATACATAGCGACATATTGCGACATGTCGTGACGAACAAGACGGCGAAATACTTTGTCCATCATAGAGACGCAGAGACATAGCGCAAGACTAGAGCTCGACTACGCCAACCTCGCAATAGGTCGCACATGCACACAGTTCTCTATAACGCACGTCAACCGCAATCAATATCAACAGCTGATAAGCGCCTAACTGTTCGAGCAATGCGTCTCTCCCTATTCTCCAAGTACTTCTGCTGCTGCCGCTTTGGTATTTGAAAAAAGGTGAGTTTATTTTGACTGAAAAGTATGTTAGACTCATACTTAGCCATATTTTTCGTATTTATGCAGTTTTTCTTCTTTATTTTTGCTATGCACCTTGTTTGAGCAAAAAGTCCCTTCTTTGTGCCAAACTTTCGCAAATTTATTTATTTATTTATTTATTGATACACTGTTGTGCACAGTGCGCCAGTACTAAGACACGAACGCAACGACAGACAAAAACAGTAATGAAACGAAATTGTAACATGCTCAACACCCTAGAGAAATTGAGGAGAGTAATTCTCTAAACTAGGTGCTCGTCAGTGTTGTCTTCAAAGTCAGAAAGTCAGTGTCGTGGGGACTAAACTTGGTATAAGTACAAGTCCAAGTACGATGCGTGACGGTATATAAATATACGGTCACTTTCGAGCGAAGAAAGAGGGCTAAGCACCTAGGCGAATGAGCGAAATCATGCGTACCCGGCGGGCAGGAGACCTCGTTCGGCTTACCCCAACAACGCTAACATCGGACTTGGATACAAGATGATCAAGGATAAGAGACAGACATATAAAATTACACGACAAAGACGATGTCAGATTTAGAAGACAAACACTAAGCTGCGTATATCGGAAGAGAGCCTCTCAGGTCAAGAGCATGTCAGCAAAACAGCAATGAAAAAAAATGATTGATGGAACGAGATGGTCATACTAATGTATGCTATGCTGTAACCCATACAACGAGAAAATGAAAACAAAACAACAAGGATAGTCAATTTAGGCAAAGGGAACGTGGACCGAAGTTCAGCAGAGTTGTATCGACTGAATTGTACAGGCAACCATGGAAGGCCTCTGAAATCAAAACAGACGAGACAACATAAGTGAGTTAAAAAGGCGATCAACTTCCCAAGTGAAGTCCATGGGGCATTGGAAAATACAGTGAAGAAATAGCCAGCGTTAAACTGAGCAAGTCAACACTCTGAAAAAAAAAGGAGCCAGCCAAGAGTAGAATTTAAAATGTAAGAAAAAAAAGTGAAGGACATAAGGAGAAACTTCATCTCAAAAGTACTCGGATTCATCTATTCCCAGCAATCTCAAAAAGTCACAATTAAGAAGTTTTTTTCTGAAAGTAGTTGAATTAGGAGCAGAGAGAACTGCGTCAGGAAGCTTTTGTAACCATCGAGAAGTGCGTGCGAAAAATGAGTTGTAGAAGAGTGTATTTGGAACAGTAGAGTCAATGCAGTGGAAGCTAAACCTACCTGTTCGGCCGTTGCACGGTCTCCAAACCCAGAATTCACTAGGAACAATTTTTGTTTCAAGGCGAATTATTTGGAAGGCAAGCACTAAGTCAGCCAAAACCCTTCGATACAGCAAGCTATGCAACTTCAAGTGGTCCAGCCTACATCTATAGGAGGGAAGAGTATACGGGTAATCCTCGCTTGGAAAAAATCTGTAATACATTACACGAGTGAAAACCATTTGGACTTTCTCCAAGGTTAGAATGTCTTTTTTTAAGTGAGGATTCCAGACTTGGCAAGCATACTCTAATGAAGGGAGAACATAGGCCATATACAGCTTGATGTATACTCTCAAGTCTACATGCTTCAAGTTCCGTAATAAAAGGAATACTCTGTGTAAGGCTGCACGCGAAATATTCTCAATATGAGATCTTAACAGGAGCTTATGGTCCATCAATATTCCAAGATCTCTTACAAGCACGGGCCTAGCCAGAGATATACTGGAGTGCGTGTACTCTTTAAGTGTGTTCTCTTGTTCATGCCTTTTGGTGATGGTCAAGCACACACTTTTACGCAAGTTAACATCAATGCAGTTCAAGTCTGCCCACGATAAGATTTTCTGAAGGCAAGCACTCAAGGCATCAGTCACTTCGACTTTGTCCTCATCAGAGTATGAAGCAAAAACTTTTATATCATCTGCATATGCCATGACTTTGATTCTCCAATCAATTGATAGAAGGCCGGGTAACTCACTTGTGTAGATATTAAAAAGGATAGGGGATAAGACACCACCCTGGGGTACTCCGCTGGTTGCCGAGAAGATAGAAGAGATGGCTGAGTTGACTCGTACCGAGAGTGTTCTCTCAGTCAGATAAGACGTGAGCCATTTTAGCATACCTCCACGAATTCCAACTGAATATAGTTTCTCAATTAATTTGTGGATGTCTACTCTGTCAAAAGCTTTGGACAAGTCAAAATAAAGAACATCAGTTAATCGATTTTGTGCCAAGGCTCTTTTCCAGTAAAAATCACAAGTAATCAGTTGGAGAGTAGTGGAAGATCCCTCCATAAACCCAAACTGTTCAGACGGTATGAGATGCTTTTGCACGCAAAATGACAGCAGTTTCCTTCTTACAATCTTCTCAGCAACTTTGCAGACCACAGAGTTAATGCTTATGGGCCGAAACTCCGAGGCCTTTTGTGGGTTCTGCACTTTAGGAATTGGTACCACCCTTCCGTGCTTCCATACTCTGGGTAATTCACCACTGCTCAAAGACATGTTGACAAGTATTGAAACAGGAACTGCTAACTGAGTGGCACATCTTTTGTAAACCATCTGGGGAATTCCATCAGCAGTAATGAAGGTCGATGGTTTCAATCTTTTCAGAATGTTCATAACATCAAAAGGCAGGACTTGAGGAACTTGTGAAAGGTATAAGGAACTTTGTATCTGATTGGTTAGATCATTAGGAAGGCTAGGTCTAGAGTTTGTCGGTTTCTGGAAAACCGATGCAAAATAATGAGCAAGACATTCGGCATTCTCTTGATCAGTCTTGCATAAATTTCCTTGGTGATCATGCAATCCTTGAGGGCCATGCTTTTCTTTGAAAATCAGGTGGGCATACTTGAAGAGAGAGGAAGTGTTCATGTTAGATAGTCTTTTCTGTCTATTCGCACTGAATTTGGCTAGGTGTCTGTTCAACTTTCTTACCACGTTTTTATATCTATCAGATGTCAACGGGTCATGGATTGTGCAAAACAAACGATCCCTTTGTTCTATCAAGTTCTTGATGTGAGTGGGGTAGTGGTCAGTCTCGTACCTTGCTCGTTTCAATGGGATGAAACGCGACAGTAAGTCGTGTAAAAGGTCAAGAAAGCGTTGATACATGTCATCAATAGAGCAAGAATTGTCGAGCAGGGACCACCAATCAATAGTGTCCAAGCAGGCAGAAATGGCCACATAATCACCGCTCGCATAGTCAGGGCAACAATCCATACAGGGGAAATCAATCGGCAACATAAGGTCAAAGTAAATGCTTGCATGGTCAGATAACCCAAGCGGTGGTCGTATAGTCACATTATGTACGAGAGGCGAAGTTGACAGTACCAAATCAAGGATATTATCATTCCTCGTGGGACACAGTACATGCTGAGTGAGAGAAAGATCATCGAACAACTTGATAAACCTGGCAGATGCAGAGCATAGTGGCGTTCTAGCCGACCAATCAATAAGCAAGTTAAAATCGCCAGCAAGAACAATATCACGATGAAGGCTACAAAGAATTTGCAACGAATCAATGAGTTTGGAATCATCACTATGAGAAGAAGATGGAGGGCGATAGACGAGGATAATCATACATTGAGAATGCGTCACATTATCTGATATTTGTAAGCATAGTGTTTCACTCAACCCCAAACTAGTTACTGGTATCTCTTCACAAATAATAGTTTCTCGGACAAATATACATAAGCCACCGCCACGCCTTTCTGGACGATCCTTTCGAAAAATTCTGTATGGAAGGTTTGAGCTCAATTCGGAAGATTCAATAGAAGATGATAACCAAGACTCAGTTATACAAACTAAATCGGGCTTATCATGTACCAAGAGAAGACGAAATAAATCAATTTTGTTTAATAAACTGCGGGCATTCAACAACACACATTTCATATTACGGGTACCATGCTCATAATTTAGTTTCCCTGCTTTGGTTGTTGCCCTGAGCTCCCTTGCAGATCGGCAACTTTGACCAGATCCCCCTTGTAGACAACGTATGCTTTGTACCCAAGCTCCTGATTTTTTACGCGTGCCTCCTTACGCAGCTCATATTCCTTTTTACGTTGTTCTGCTGTAAGGCTTGGCCTAATGTATATGTTAGAAAACCGGGGATTGTTGCGCAGCAATTTAGCCTTGCTAAGTACTGCGAGGGAATGCGCCTTAGATGGGAACATGATTTTAGTCAAGCGGGGTTTGCCTTCTGAACCCTTCCCCATCCTAAAGACAGAAGTAGGCCTGACCTCAACTCCAAGATCATCTAGGATATCGGTGACCTTGGATTCCAAATCAGCTTGCTTAGCCGAAGGTCGCGAGTTAGATGCTAATTCCGGTATCCCGGCGACCACAATGCTTCTCACACGAAAGAACTCTTCACAAATCATACGAGAGTTGACCAAGATTGATCGCAAAGCATGGAGCGAGTCCATGACCTGCGATGGGACACGGGGGGTACTCTCGAGAAAAGTCGATATCGTGTGTAAATGCATGGATATGTCACCAGAAAAACCGGGATCAGACAAACCAGCAATAAGAGGATCATCACTCAGAGTTTGGGAGACCTGAGAAATCTGAGAAAAAGAGGCTTTGGATTTGCTTTGAGAAGAACGAGTCGCAACCATGACAAAATCTACAAAAAGATCGAGAAAAAAATCGACAAAAATCGAGAGCGCCAAAGAAACACGACCGCTCAATGCGCGGGCAATGATAAGAATGATCTTTTTCTTGATCTTTAAATTCTTGATCTTTTCATCATTCTTGGCAGTTTCGACCACATATCTTTGCTGGTTGCTGTTCGTTAGCCATGCACCTCTCGTTTCCTTTCGTTTTTATGAGAAAGGACCGTCTGGCGTTATGGCTAATGGAATAGCCCATTTTTGAACGGACTGAATGTTGATGATAATATTTTGATTTTTCTTGTACACTTTCAATATGTATTCTACTTTAAATTCCATTTTCTTTCAAAAAGAAAATTCTAATAGTTTAAAAGTTCCACTTTCCTTAAGCCTCGGCATCGCTAATATTCTTCAGTACTGCTGTGCCAGACAGGTTTGGTAGGTGTTCTTTATTCCAATCAAGGCCTAACGTTTCGACGCCTTTCGTCTTCCTCAGAGGCCTGAAAATGGCTCAAAGCGTCATCTGTGAAAAGAGGCCATCAAGCACCATCCTCATTCCTGCTAGTTCTCGATCTTCGCTCAACATCCCTACCGCAAAAATTGTCAGCGCCAGAAAATGAACATACCGTTGAGAACACCGCTATGTCAGTTTCCGCACCGGAAGTGATGGTCTAATTCTAATTTACGTTCCTTTGCAAAATTCAGTTTGCCAGCAAAAAAAGATAGTGTCGCCTGGAACTTGTACCCCCAACGTCTAGCACACAGGCCTCTCACACTGGCACTGCGCCAACTACAAGCTATGTTAAGTTGTTGAGCTGTTTCACAATAATTGCAAAAGTAGTAGCTAACCCTTCAACAATACTTACGGATAAGGCATGCATATCGTTTTCCCATACTGATTTGCTGCGACTGCTCTATTTGCTACATGTATCCTCTCCCTAGCAAAGCACGGCGTAGTAGCATACAACGCAGCGAATGTGCGCGTTGCTAGACCATCTGTGTCGTGGCACGGAGCTGGCACGAATCTGGCACGGGCTGACACGCTCAATTTTTATTGAGGGCAACAGTCAAATATGGTCCTGCCATAGCGGATAATGGCGCTTCTTACAGCATAGTGTACAAAGATAAGCATAATTCTGCAACAGACATAGATCAACTGCGTTTTCCTATCAATATTGATGAACATGAGATAATGAGTCAAAATATGGAGAAAGAGGCGCGCACACGCGAGGATAGTTAGTTATTGGATTTCCTTTGATTGATTTACCTGCTCTGGCAAGCATAGTATACTACATTCTTGCCTTGCTAAGCAAATACCCCACGGCATATCTGTACTCATAGCGCAGCGCGTGTGACCGCTGCTATCGCGGTCATCAGCGGTTCAATGACGCGCGGAGGCGTTCGTTTTGCGGCGCCCTGCGGATAGCTCGCTATAGTCTTGCGAGATACTCCGAGCTATCACGACATAGTCCCTCTATGTTGTGACAACCACGAGGGGTTTACTACGGGCCCAGCCGTCAGCATATCTGTTGTAGTAAGACAGACAGTAAGCTGTCAAATCCGTACGTCTTCAGAAACAAGCGGCATAGCTCCGGAGGGAGAGCGGGACAAGGTATGGATATTAACCCGCCAAAGGCGCTCCGCTCGCCCGGTTTGATGTAGGCGACGGTTCAATGACGCGCGGAGGCGTTCGTTTTGCGGCGCCCTGCGGATAGCTCGCTATAGTCTTGCGAGATACTCCGAGCTATCACGACATAGTCCCTCTATGTTGTGACAACCACGAGGGGTTTACTACGGGCCCAGCCGTCAGCATATCTGTTGTAGTAAGACAGACAGTAAGCTGTCAAATCCGTACGTCTTCAGAAACAAGCGGCATAGCTCCGGAGGGAGAGCGGGACAAGGTATGGATATTAACCCGCCAAAGGCGCTCCGCTCGCCCGGTTTGATGTAGGCGACGGTTCAATGACGCGCGGAGGCGTTCGTTTTGCGGCGCCCTGCGGATAGCTCGCTATAGTCTTGCGAGATACTCCGAGCTATCACGACATAGTCCCTCTATGTTGTGACAACCACGAGGGGTTTACTACGGGCCCAGCCGTCAGCATATCTGTTGTAGTAAGACAGACAGTAAGCTGTCAAATCCGTACGTCTTCAGAAACAAGCGGCATAGCTCCAGAGGGAGAGCGGGACAAGGTATGGATATTAACCCGCCAAAGGCGCTCCGCTCGCCCGGTTTGATGTAGGCGACGGTTCAATGACGTTTTGCGGCGCCCTGCGGATAGCTCGCTATAGTCTTGCGAGATACTCCGAGCTATCACGACATAGTCCCTCTATGTTGTGACAACCACGAGGGGTTTACTACGGGCCCAGCCGTCAGCATATCTGTTGTAGTAAGACAGACAGTAAGCTGTCAAATCCGTACGTCTTCAGAAACAAGCGGCATAGCTCCGGAGGGAGAGCGGGACAGGGTATGGATATTAACCCGCCAAAGGCGCTCCGCTCGCCCGGTTTGATGTATGAGTGGACGAGCGGGGTACTATTAGCGGGAGAGTGAAGGGAAGTATGATGGTCGCCCGAGAAAGGTACTCCGCTCGGCCGCTTTATATCTCTAGCGGGCGGGCGGGATGCCTCTAGAGGACGCACTCAGCTTGTCCGAGTTATTGTCTGAGTAAGGCACGCCATTCACTTTCGCTTTGCGCTGAAGACTTTATAGCAGCCCTCCTAGTTCTAGCACGCCATTCACTCTAGCACGGTTCTCAGCGGGAAGCGACAGTAAGGCGATAAGCCCACGGCACTTTTGGTGGGGTTTGGCGGTGGCTTTGTGGCTGCTCGCTGAGAGCCTCTGATTGTCTGAGTAGAGAAGAGCTCACCTGCTATTACCTGGGGCGGTATGCATCAATCTCCCGTTTTGAAAACGGGCGGTCATTTTCAATAGAAAGATGCCGGCAGGGTTGGGTGCCCGATCCGTGATGTATGATTTGTATGAAAATGATCGCCCGCTTTCAAAACGGGAGATTGATTGATGCATACCGCCACTGGTCTCTGTCGCAATACGATTTTGCTGGGGTAGACTTCCTTGAGGTTCAACTTTACACATGTCAGCTGTTTCTCGGGATTGTTGCTGTAAGGCTTGATACATACCTGACGATGGGTCGCCATAGCTGACGATAAGACGCTGCCAGCAGCAACGCCTTTTGTGCGTATTGATTGACGCCGGGCGACGCCGCTGCTCCCCGCTGCTGCAGCGAACGAGAAACAGACCCGCCATAGCTAGCGATGCTGCGCTGCTGCTTGCTGCTCATAGCTGCTACGCGCTGCTCCTTGCTGCTCTGCGACCTGAAGCTCACTTTTTGTGAGCTTTTCTCAGCTGCTCTTGCTGCTATCGGCGTATTTTCACTAGATCTTCCCTCATTTTGCTCGTTTTCATCCATTTTTGATCATTTTTTCGTATTTATGCCTGGAACAATTTAATAGTACCGCTCCTAGCCCCACTTTTCTACACTTTTATCGAGTTATTTCGCTCACCATGCTTTTTCTTTTGATTTGTGAACGCAAATTCCTTATTTAAAGTTTTTCTTTTGTTATTTGTGACCATATGCATTGTTTATTTGGTTTTTTTTGTTTTCTATCCCCTCCTTACCCTACCGATGAGCCTCGGGGAGGGTTTTTGTGCTGTATTCATTCTATTTTTTGCCTGTCTAGGGTTCAGAGGCGAAACAGGGAACTTTGGTTTCCTATTTTGTTTATTTCTTACATTCTTCGTCATTGCTATATATTCTATGCTGTGTACGTATTTTTTTTTTCAGAGTCATGACTTCTCACAACATTCGAGCTCTACAAAATGTACTTGCTTTGGAAACGATGGAGGAAATGATGGATTACGAGGAAAGCGTATCAAAAGCAAGAGCATATGTCCGAGAGGAACACGTTCCCTTCCTTTATTCACGCTTTCGGAACTTGGACTCCTACATCGCTTCCCACAATCCGGATAACTTCGCTCATTTTACACGACTATTCACTTCTGAATTCTAAGATCTCCATGAAAGACTTGGCCCCTATTTGCAACATGAGCCATTTCATGTTGCACCAATCAGTGCCCAATGGAGGCTTTTCGTCTATTTGAGGTATGTTATTGGAATATACAGCTTCTCCACTGTTTACTTCTTATTTTGGTTGTACTCATGCTATAGCATATTAGATTTGTTGGACACGGCTACGCATATGGAGCTTTGGCAGAAGAACTCAACATAGGAAGGCAGACCGTGTCTGATATCGTCTCCGAAGTCACGGATGCCATAAATACGGGTAAAATCACCTAAAATGATAAGCTTCGTTCATTTCCCTACACCACGCTTATTAGTTCTATTCGCCGATGCATTCCCAACGCCCACCCGTCAAGCACTTGAAGACTGTGCCATGAAAACACAGCAGCGTTATGATTATCCACGCTGTGGGTTTCATGGACGGCGAACACGTAGGATTAAGAGTACGTTATCATTCATCACATTCATTCCGCACCTATATAGACAACCGATCTTACTTTAAAAAGCCGAAAAATGCGGGCAGCACGTATTGGAACTACAAAGGCTTCCACTCCATCATCCTCCTTGCTGTTTGCGACTGCGACTACCGTTTCACAGCCATCGACGTTGGTGCACCAGGACGAGCTGGAGACGAGGGAGTGTTCCGGAATTCGGACATCAAGACATTCTACGAGGTTCGGGATAACATCTTCCCGGAAACAGAAGAGCTCAACGATGTTGGGCCAGTGCAGTACCACATTCTGGTCGACGGTGGTTTCGCGCAGAGCCACCGCTACTTCAGACCGTTTCCGGAACCAATGGCGACAACAGCTAGCAAACGTCGCTTCAATGAGAAACTCAGCGGGTAGACTACTGCAAATTCCTATCATTGATTCCAATCAGATTATAATACATTATAGGGCAAGGAGGATGATCGAATCATCATTCGGGATACTTTGCAAGAGGTTCGCCATTTTGCAACGAGATCTACAAGTCGAACCGGAAAAGGCTCAGAAACTAGTCACATCACTATTGGTATGTTTTAACTCAGCTTTTTTTCACCTATCAGATCAATAACAATTTTATTTAAGGTCCTCCACAACCTTCTCGTACGAAGGCAAGATCTCCTGGAGGGAGTAGAACGATTCGCGCCAGCAAGGAACTCGCCTCTACCAGACCGCTTTGTCTCACTACAACGAACTGTTCGGCATGCCGGTTCAGATTCGGCGAAAATAGCAAGAGATCGTCTTGTATCGTACTATGATAATTTGTATGGAACTCCACAATAAACATTCAAAAATTTTACTAACTACTAGGCAATGGTACAAGATCTATCAAATAAAGCAAATCTCTGGCATATATCACAAAATAGAAAATAATAATACAAAATATACATATATACATGACTAAGTATATGAATCTCTATTAACTACTAGGCTATGGTACAAGATCTATCAAATAAAGCAAATCTCTGGCATATAAAGATCTATCAAATAAAGCAAATCTCTGGCATATATCACAAAATAGGACATAACAATACAAAATATACACATATACATGACTGAGTATATAAAAAAACTATAAAATTTATGTACCGTCTTCTAATCGATCGACATACTGCACTGGCTCCAGCAAAGTATTGGTCAAACTCATTTTCCCTACGGCAACATTGTCTGGCAGGCTTTTCAGATACGTTGTGACGAACTGCCCTGTAACAGAAAAATAAAAATATAATCAAAGCTTGTCAAAAACCTAGACTTCTTACCGTACTGCTCGAATTTGCATGGCGGCTTTTGCTTCTCGACCTCCAGGGTGGACATTCGGGCTTTGACGGTCTCCGCAGCCTCTTGCAGGAAGTTTCGAGCTATTATAATCACAAAATTCACGTTCAATAAGTAGAAATTAGATTATATGTGATAAGTTCATTACTAACCTTGCAGAGGCGCCCTCTTCTTCTTCATGGACGGGGTCCGCAGCAGCTTCGGAGATGGAGAGCGCGATGGAGAGCGTGCTTCTATTAGCGACTCTTCACTGGTTGCTGGTGAGGGAGTGCTCTCTCCATCTCCATCTCCACGTCGTCCACGTTTTCCTTCTCCTGCGACGACGAGTATGCGGACGTGGACGACGTGCCGCTGCTTGTCAGGTTGGAAATCCGCGCACTGTGACACAATACAATTAAAAAACAAAAGAAAGATGCATATGTTTGAAAAATATACGGAAACTTACACCGTGGTTTCGCAGGTGTCCAAAAATCGTAGATGTTTCATATAAACCCACGGCTGCGCGGTTGCAGACCCCCCGTCCTGGCCGTCTTGTGCTTCCTGTATGTGTCCCGTAATGATTTCCACATTCGTTTTGCATCAGCGACTGAAATAGAAAAAAAATTACAAGATTTGTCCCAAAAGGTTTTGAAACTTTGGAAGAGAACTTACCCGGGCATTCATGGCCCTTGCTCCTCATTTTCTGGGAGATTTCAAGCCATGCAGAATTTTTCCTTTCCGCAACGCGGTAGTCATCGGAACTAACGTTCCAAATTGCCCCTTGCTCCTCAACTAAAGTGATTAAGTCGATCTTCAGATCGTGGGCCATTCTATTTAAAAAAAATCTAGTTTAAACGATGATAGTAGACAGCAAAATCGAGAAAAAACATAATATGAACGAAATCGAGATCCACGAGGAACGAGCATCCAAAAAAAATGAACAAGAGATGAACAATCAGAGGTGCATTAACCTTAAAAACTAATCTAATGTGCTAAAATGGTCTACAAGTAACTTGTTGCGCCCTAATTACTCGCAGCGCGTGTATTCGCGGCCTGCGTGTGCGACCCAGAAATCGCTGCTAGCAGCAAGAGCAGCGAAGACAGCGGCGATTCGCCAACACCCGCCATACCTCCATCGTCAGGTATGTACGAAGCCTAAGTGTCCTTCCTTACAGCAGATCCTTTTGCGGCTGGAGAGATTCAGTTGTGAGATCTCAACCACGCCCACTTCAATGCATTGGGGGGGGGGTAGGGCCGAAATCGCATAACTGCAGCGTCTCACTCACCGTTGCAGGGCCAAATAACATCAAACCTCCATATGTTATACATCATTTGATAATCATGAAGAGCATTTTTAAATCCAGCTCCTTGTTGATTTTCGCTTTTACACACATCAAATAGGAACGCCCAGAGTCATTTTTTGCCTCCGCAAAAAAATGACTCTGAGCGTTCCTATCTGACGGTTCTCGGCAAGAAAGCCTTCTCAAGATCTACTTTTTTCACCATCTTGTAGAATAAGGTCTACTTGATATCACCTATGTGTCGCAAAAGGGAGGCGTGCAAGTGGTACCCAGGCAGCCGACTACTGCCGCAGCAGCAGCCAGAGCTGGCGTCAGCACCGCCGCATACGGTAAAATAATTACGCTAGTCGTCTGAAATATCCAGCCAAGAGGTCTTCTCCTCGCACTTCATCGCGCTGAGGTGCGATATCAGCCTCAGGGACAGCGCTATTATTGATATTTATATCATTTTGAACAGCAAAAACTCTATAATTTACTGATAAAAATTAAATGAACAAATTTGCACAGAGTAGAGTTTTCCCAAAGGAAAAGGGTTATGTAAGTCAATTCCTTAAGAAACCAGAAGTTGAAATAATTCAAGATGCAAAAAATGTGTAGTTATCAAACTTTATTCCTGAGATTCATAATCGGAGGAGAACGTACGAATCATAATGGCGAAAAAAAGTCTGTCAAAATTAGAATTTCAAGACTCAATGATGTTAAGCGAGCTGAATAAGCCAAGGTAGGTCAAATAGATGAGCCGAAGTAGGTCAAATAAATGAGTAAGTCACTTCCTTTTTTGGGTATATAGATCAGATACGATTGGGCATCGATGAAAATTAGAAACGTTGCAGGAAAGCTTAAGCTGTCTACTACAAAACATTACAAAAAATATATTGTAAAAATTCGACCGAATGCGGGGAAAATGATTCCGAAAATGTGCTCGGGACTTTCTTTGCAACCTAGTAAGTTCTTTACTACGCTTTCTCTTTTATGTATATCAACAAATGTGACATATTTCTTTTATCAGTGGCCTACTCATTTATTTGACCTAATTCGGCTCATCTATTTGACCTACCTTGGCTTATTCAGCTCGCTTAACATCACTGAGTCTTGAAATGCTAATTTTGACAGACTTTTTTTCGCCATTATGATACGTACGTTCTCCTCCGATTATGAATCCCAGGAATAAAGTTTGATAACTAAACATTGTTTGCATCTTGAATTACCTATTTCAACTTTTTCAGCTTTTCAACTATTTCAACGGTTTTTTCAAGGAATTGACTTACATAACCCTTTTCCTTTGGGAAAACTCTAAACTGTGCAACTTTGTTCATTTAATTTTTATCAGTAAAATATAGAGTTTTTGCTGTTCAAAATGATATAAATATCAATAATAGCGCTGTCCCTGAGGCTGATATCGCACCTCAGCGCGATGAAGTGCGAGGAGAAGACCTCTTGGCAGGATATTTCAGACGACTAGCGTAATTATTTTACCGTATGCGGCGGTGCTGACGCCAGCTCTGGCTGCTGCTGCGGCAGTAGTCGGCTGCCTGGGTACCACTTGTTACGCACCCGTCGCAAAAGGATCTGCTGTAAGGAAAGAGACTCACAGCAACGATCACGAAACGCTTAGATGACATTTGTAAAGTTAAAGCTTAAGAAAATCTGCTGCAGCAGATCCTTTTGCGAAAGCCCAGGTTATAGCAAGTAAGCTTTCCTCTACAAGGCGGCAAAGAAGTCAGTAAGCTTTCCTCTACAAGATGGTAAAGAAGTCAGATTAGGAGAAGACCCCCTCACCGAGACATAGAGATTTTTTGGGTTAGAGGGGTGTCGTTCAGCACCTTGAATCGTGTAACAACTGCTTCAACTGTGTACAATATCACACTTCATTGTTTATACTAAAAATACACAGCACAATGACAATCTATTTGCTTAGCCGTATGATTACAACCTAGTAATGTCTAACCTCCACTTTAGCCACCCACTGACCATGCGGTCTTCCACGCCGATTCATGCACTTCTCGTTCCATACATTCCCTGAAACTGGATTCCTTATCGGCATATCTCCCATGTTTACATCAAAAAATCAAAGAAAAATTAAACTAAATTTGGAATACAAAATAAACTAGAGTTTATTTTCTAAAAAAATTATGTGGTAAAATGAATTAGGGACTTTAAATTATCTGAAGAAGTTTGCACTTCTCTCCCCCCCCCCCTCAATCCCGGTCGACGTGGGTAGTTTTTGGTCTTTCACGTTTGAGATCGAAAACAGTCCAGACCCTTCACCTTGGGGATACCCACCTTGACTAACCCATTGATAGCAATTCGTGCGCGTCATCGCTATTGAAAATAGCGCCTAATTCTCCGATGTCGTTTTTTGGTTGATAACCACTCTGCGAACGATTGTAAATGAACGTGACCAGCCGAGCTGCAGTCAGTTGTAGACAGCATAATCATATTGGAAGAAAAACATCACAGAAACTTTCCTTGTTGTTGATATTCATTTGTAGTTAATCGGCTTAGAAGAAGGTGGTGATGTCGAGCGAGAATATAAGAGATCTCCATAAAGGGAAGGTACAGGTGACTTTTGCAATCAATGTATCATGTTGACCACGGAATACAGATCATTGGCGGACGATGGCGTCTGGTCTCTAAGATTGGCGAGGGTGCAATGGGAGCAATATACAAAGTAGAAGACAGGAAAAGAAAGAACTTCTGCGGAGCGTTAAAGGCAAGTGATAGAACAAGACCTTTAAGAATGTATAATTGAGCTGTTAAGCTGGAAAGCGATCTGTCTGAAGGGGGAGTTCTGAAGCTAGAAGTTTTCGTTCTCAAAAAATTACAGGGACTGAAGCACACAGTAAAGTTATACGACTCAGGGCAGACAAACAAATATTGGTAAGAACAAGATGTTAAATTCATTAGGTGGGCGCATTGCATAGCAAAAACGATATGGTAGGTAAGTCCACATCCAGGGCCAATGACTTCGTAGTTTGAGAAAATTGCTTGATGAAATCCGAAAATGTTGTAACATTCAGCTTCATGGTGATGTCACTCCTTGGAAAAGATTTGTGGAGGCTAAGGGTAGAATCGAATAAGCCCTTTTCAGAGTCAACTACTCTGAGGGTAGCAATCAATACACTCTTCGCTATAAAGAAGGTACCCAAAGCTGCAGAAATGCTCGCTCAAACCTGGCTTTTCAGGTGCACGAACTAGGCTATGTTCATAGAGACATCAAACCAGGAAACTTTCTTATAGGTCGAATAGGCCGAGAAAAGCGGATACTGTTTTTGATTGATTACGGTGGGCTTCCATAGGGTCAAAATGGTCTAAAAACAAGGCAAACTTTATCAGGAATGGTACGATCCTTTGTAGCCACAGATAAAGATACAGGCAAGTTAGCGATACGTCAACCTCGAGATGGAGCGCAACTATTTCGGGGAACTCCAAAATACTGTAGCTTGAACTGTCACTATAGAAAGGAGCAGGTAAGCTTTCCTACTCGTTTTTGACAACTAGGAAGAAACTCATAGCTTCAATTTAGGGACGTGTTGACGATCTTTGGTCATGGCTATACAGCCTCATTGAAATTCATTGCAAGTTACCGTGGAGTGCGCTTCTAGAAGAAAACAAAGTTTTACCTATCAAAGAAGCATGTTCAGAAAATGACCTACTTCGCGTAAGTGACAGCCTCCTGATGCTGTAGTGCATTTATGGACCACTGCAGCTAACAATAAGAACCAATGGAAAATTGCTATATACCTCAACAAAAATCGTCCCCTTGAAGCCCAATATCCATTTAGAACTTACTGGTTTGGCAACATCCAGTAACTGCGCTGATTTGGATTCTACTATAAATTTGAAATTAGAAATGTTTGCATTAAATTAGATTACCCTCGAGTAAATCTTCCGCTTACATAGTGAGATTGGGGTGACGAGAAAATTTGCGCGTGAATACGCTATGCCGACCACTTTTGCGGGCAAAATGCCTGCATTACTGGAGTGGATGTACACTATATTAGACGGAAAATCTGCTCGACTATATATTTTGACGCATAAAACACTAGCATATCGCTTTAACAACGCTCCAAACTACAGTTCATGATGTTTCTAATTAGGGACATCATGCCAAAGTCAAATGAGAGGCCTAGGATTTTTTTCTTTAAAGACGCGTGAATTTTGCAATCGAAAATTACGCACAACCATCAGGATATCATCGGATCCTTGCATATACATAATCTCTGGTACAATGCGTGCATATCCACACGGTGCTCACTATATTAATCATGAGGTACTGTCGAACGCCTTCTCGAGATCTAAGACGAGGCATGTACCATTTGATTCAACTGGCTTGGCATCGGCAAAGGTGGGGCTTCGTGACCTAATTAAGGCTAGTTAATGATCAGAGAGCATTCGCTCGAGAGAGACGCAGGTGCGTCGCGGGCGAGCGGCCTCAATTAGATCACAAAACCCCGCCTTAATGGTGCCAAGCCATTTGAATCAAATGTTAGTTCGCATTGCCTCGTCCGCGGACGCTTGCCCGCTGCCGCTAATCAATCGAGTACTCTTGAACGAAGGTGGGTCCTGATTACGGGCAAGTATGGCCCAGTAACGGACAGCAATTCATTTTTCGGATAAGGGACTATACCGGATGCCACCGAAAGGGGTGTTCCCACTCTGATGTCTGCAACAAAAACGCACCTCAAGCATGGATGTGGTGCGTATTTGTCGCAGATAACCGAGGAGACTTCCCTTTTGGCGACGTATTCCTCTATCCACCTCTCTCTTTAGAGATGCCCAGAAGAATTCAGAAAGATCTATCGGTACCTAAAAACACTGAAATACGAGGATAGACCAGACTATTATGGGCTGTTTAGTGAGGTTATTACTGAGCCAACATGTGCACGCGATGAAACCTACTTTGCAGTGCATGGCTGGCCTAAAGCGAGTTCGTGGATCGTTTCTAGACCGATACGAATGGGAGACAGAGATTAAAGATGACATGGAAACAGCCTTATCAATATCGGACGAAGACAGGAAAACACACAAGCCAGTTGGAAGTAAGCTTTATCGATCAGGAACATATCTACATGTTGACAATAGAAACTCCCAAAATCATAGTAATCATAAGGTGTGTATTATAGGGAACAGAATTGCGCAGAAGATCTATCCGTTTGCAACAAAAGAAGTTTTCAGAGAAAATATACTCAATTTATAAGTAAACTTTTGCAAACAAAGTTTAACAGTAATATAGAGAAGCAAGACAGTAATAGTAGAAAAACATTTTTTCTCAAGCCAGTGAGCAACGGACGAGCGTGAGATTGTTCGAATACAGTAATTAAATAAGCAATTGCATGTGCAGTGGCCGTTGTATAAGTTTCCGCTTTGTATTCCCATAACTCTTTCTAAAATCAATTATTCGTATTAGAAATTAGCGCAAATCCACGACTTCTACCTTCAAGTCTGGTCAAAAAAGCCAAGATAACAAATAATTTAAATAAATCCCAAGAGTCCGCAAACGTTCTTCATCAAACTATAAATTCTTTGCGGAAAAGCAAAATTTGAAAATTTCCACCAACACTCAGCGAGAAACTCGAAGAGTGATCTTGCCAGAAAATTTCAAAATTTTACTCCTTTTAAGTACTTTTTATAATTTTTTGTGGGTTCTTGCTCCAGGACTTGCACTCATCCTTGCCCACCAACCTCACAAACCAAATGATTTCGTTTGTTATAAGCATTTGCTTTATAAATTATCACACGATCACTCGCCACATTTATTGCGCCATCGCTTTTTGATGTGATAACAGGAAGATAACAACAAATCTGTTCATAATTTTCCTCAATCAATTTTCAACAGACAAACACAACAATATATACAGTGCCTACACTACAAGGATGGTCGAAGGCCGCAGTTGCCTCTCTCAAAGTAGCCTATAGGGTAAAAGAGGTATCTATGCAAATGTATGGAACTGATCTGACATTAGGAATTTAGCTAAAATTGAAGCAATTTTGGTCACTTTACCTCACTAACAAGTATTCATACGCAATTAAGAGCCCTACCCGACGCCAGACTTCACCTAACAAAATAACGATAGGGGTGGTTAGTTAGCAATTCAGCGCATCGACTATGAACACCTCAGTGAGATATGCTGCACCTTCCGACCATTCCATAGTAAACAAACATGAGACAAATTCTGCTAACAACAACAAAAAACGACAAAAGAAAAAATGTATGTAATGTATGAAAATCGATGGTTCCTGATGGGGAAAACAACTACTCTTCAGAGCTTGATTGCTGAGAACGCTTCAAAGCTGTCTGGAGTCAGTCAACGGGATCGCGCCGTAGCAGCCATATTCCGCATATGGATTATCTGTACTTGTTGCGGAAGACCCACGAGGGAGCGGTGGACCACCTCGTGCACGTCCATGCTCTCCTCGACTGAAAAGGTATATGGTAATTCATCGACATGGTACCTGAGATCAAAACCTTCTACCGGTGTCTGAATATTGAAGAAGTTGGCAAATCTCACTTCAACTAAGTTTGACAATAAATCTTATTTGCAAAATCGAAGTGTAGAATCGGAGGGACATTCAGATGTAAAGAATGTTATGATTTGTGTGACAATTCTTAGTTACAGTTAGGTACATCTCCTCTGTATATTGGGTTGTTTCAGAAGTTCTACTCATTTTCTGTACCTCTTTTTACACTGCTGATTTTGAAGGAGAAAACACATTTTTGAACATTGCTTATATCGAAAGCACTTTTCCTCTAGTTTCTCAAGTGTACTTTCATTTTTATAGTTTACTAGCTGGGGGTGGGGGAACGAAAGCCGCCAGGTCCAGCCGCCTCCGCGGACTGCTGGTCCTGGAACGACATGCAACAACGCTGCGAAAGGACCAGCTGGCCGCGAAAGGCGGCTGGACCTGGCGGCTTTCGTTCCCCCACCCACTAGCTGGGGGCCCCGGTCTTACCCGAGACTTCAAGTTGGTTAAGCCAACAGAAATTGTAAACTTACGCCTCTAGATTTCTTCTAACGTGCGCATAAAGCGCTTTCAGACTAAGCCGCACCCTACCAACTTTAAGACTGAAATGGACTTTACCGACCCTACTTACATGCTTATATGTAAAAATGATCGGTTGCCATGATGGCCCTTCATTTTCTTAGGTTTGAGTAAACAAATCAATAAATCGATAGAATGGCCCGGCGAATCGCCGCGGAAAGTAGCTCTAAACCACCGCCGGGGTCGAAAATATACGTGTGCGAAGTTTCAACCGGATCGGTTCAGTGGCGCGCGTTTCTATAACGAACGAACAATTAAACGAACATCCTCACAGACATTGAGTTTTATATATATATAGATTTATTCTGTGATACTCTAAATTGGAAAGATAGCAAAACAATTGTGTATTTTCTTTTCTACTCTACTGCCGTACGATAGACAGACAGAACAGGAAATTTCTTTTGCATACTACGAGACGCCATGTTTGAACCTGAAAAATTTTTGAACAAGATTTCTAGCATAAATACAGCCTGCCACCATGGTCCCTTGAGTCGCATAAGATTCTAACAAGGGAAGGGTACTTAGCCGAAGGGTGCTTCCATACGAAGTGTATGCTATCTAGAGCATTGAACGCTGATTCCAGATCTGCTCTGCAATGCGCTTCCAGGAGGGGAGTTATGGGAATTTTTGAGGAAAAAAATTCAAGGATTTGGCTAAAGTAAAAGTAGGTATTGAACTTTTTCCGACTTAGCATGTACAAGCCGCCTTGACTGTAATCATGACCTAATTTGCTCACAGGCTACACTTTCAGATGATTTTATGGCAGCCGCGCGCTAGAACTTTTTGAAAAAATTCCCATGACTGCCCACTCAGAAGCGTTTTGCAGATACCAAAAGCAGATTTGGAATTACCGTTTCATGCACTATAAGATAGTATATACTTCATATAGAAACTACACTTCGACCTAGTATTCTTCCCTTGTAAGAGCAATCACTTACGGAACTATTGATCTTTATATAGAACATTTATTACTAGTTCTCAATAGTCAGGGCGAATAAAACCAGAAACGGCAATTCCTGCCCCCTCAGAGAAAACGAAATAAGTAGATCCTTGAATCTTCTTGCAAAATTCGAGAAAATATGGTGAAACCGAAGGTTAGCAGCTGCTCAGCCAAATGGATTACCACAAGTAGTGCTTGTGCATCTACTATATATCAAATCAAGTTATGGTTTCTGAAAGTAGAGATTCCTAAAAAGAAATGTTTGGCAAATTCCCCTGAAAAGTCTTTCTGGTTGTTACTGCAGTAATTTTTAAGTATGCACAAAATTGCCAGAAATAGGTCGAAAGTAACACATAACATAGCGTAATGATCTTTATAAAAAGAGTTATGGTGCACTAAACTTGTATTTCAAAGTATTTCAAAGAGAGTAGAACTTTTGAAACTATTCAATAGATCGCACAGATTTTTTTTTGTGAGAAAATTCAATCGCTGATTATCCAGGAGATGGATGTTGGGTAGCAATTTTGTGTTTGACCTCTGTCAATAACAGACTGTCATTTCCACCGAGTGCGATTCTTACAGCTCATTCTGCAGCTTTCAGAATAGCCTCAAAAATGCAAAATCGTAATCAGTCACAGCCAGAGATTCAAAGATATCGCACCAACAAATGTCAAAAGGGCACGACTTTTCAACAACATTATATCATGCAGATTTTGGTTGTGGTGAAAACTGAAGCGAACAATAAACATTACTTTCGGGTAGAGTACCATACAATAGCGGATAACTTCTGGCATTTCAAACTGAGAGCCTCTGGATAGCCTTATTCTAGGATTTAAGGTACTACCCGTCGATATATCTGCGTCGATGCAAGCGGAAAACAACAAATTTGCAAATGATGGTCATCTTGTCATCAATGGAGTGGGTCCTTCAGCTAAGCCATGGGGTAGATGAAACCAGCGGCAAGCCGAAGGAGGAGGCTGGCGAAATTTATTAACTTACTTATATGGGAAATTGTGCAAGCGACTTGCTCTTATTTGTAGATAATTGAAACAAATCTTGAAATTTTTGAAAATTTAATTTAGCCTCATAAAAAGATTTTTTTTAGAAGGCGTGGCAGCCGCCATGCTCTCTTTTTATAAAACTGCGGGGTTGTAGGCCCAGAAAAACTTTGAGAAGCATGCCGAAAAATTTTTCAGAGTGTGTAGTTCGCCACGCACTCCAAAAAACACCTTGATTCGGAAACATTTTTACCCTCCTCCCTTTCTCCCCAAAAATATCTCAGACCACCACTACCTAGATATCTCTGTTTGCGTCGTCCAAATGGGACCTTGTTCATATAATACTTTTCAAATTTTTTACATTTCCACGGCTCAATCCACGCCACGAGAGTATGCTATTTTGGCAATTTTTGTGAATTCATAGTAAAATAGCGCTTCTCTGAGGAGTTTAAACGCTTACCCTAGAATTCCGCCTCGTCCGCTGTGCCAATCCCAAGATGAACCGCGACCTCGCCCCCCATTATGATTTGCGCCTCTTCCTAAACAAGGTCAGCTGTTTGATTCATTTAGTATCCTGCAGAATTACCTCCAACGCCTCGCTGAGACGTGCTCTCTGAAAACTGAACGCGATTTCTTTTTCCACGTGAACGATTTCCTCTAACGACATTAGCCGTGTTTGTCTTGCCAGCTTTTTGTGCTTGGTACTGCCTTTCTTTTTCATCATCACTGAAAACGGCATCATCCTCTGAGGAAACTTCGTCCACTACCGTTTGCCTGAAAACAGTATCTTATTGGCAAAGTAAATTGATTAGCATTGCCGTACTCGTTCAACTGCGTTTCAATGACCGTTTTGGTATATTGCTCTGCTTTCGGGGCGTAGTATACCTTCATACCAACCTCCATCTTCGCAGCCTAAAAGGTAGATCAGGGAGGTTGAAGGAAAGCTGATGTGACATGTTTTTGTTTGCCCTACTACCAATAAGCATTTTTGAAACGTATAAGCTAGTCCCTAACGAAAACGTTTTTTGTTTATAGTAACAGAGCATTTCGCTTCCGACAAGCTCTTTTCGATTCTAAGGTAAGCGTCAGACTAAACGACTCTTTTGTTCAGCTGCAGAAGCGCAGAATTAACAGATTAAACGCGCAGATTTAACCTTAAATCTGCGCACGATTGCCTGCTTTAGCTGCAGAACCGCGGAAAATTAATGTAAATTCTGCGCGCCTTCGCTGAACAAAACAGTCGCTTAGTCTGGCGCCTAAATTCCCCACAAGTGTCATAAATACCAACCTCCTCTTTCGTATTATATCTCACTGAATAGAACGGGCTTTTCACTGGGCCAAATAGATCGAAAACAACGCCAATGGAGTTGCGATCCTTAACAGACTCTTCAGTTTAACAATACTGAGAACAAAGCAATTCCTGGATGAGGAAAATAAACGTAGATCATACCTTATCAAACAAGACAGAGTCGAAATCAAGCGCAACACCAGTTTCCGACTGTATGACGACTGTAACAATTCCGTAAAAATGCGCAAAAATTGCAACAATTACATACCTAAACAATCCACAACGGATGTCACATGTCCCACAACTTCAAGAGGTATGGACTCGTCACAGTGGATTGAAAGATTTTCCAGTGGTGGGAGAGTATCATACCTGAGTCAATATGTCACTATGAAAATTGTCAGACATTGAACTGAAAACTGCTCAAAATTCTGATGAAATGTGGAATAAATCTTACTCATTCGTGAGGTCGCTAGCATCGATGACTAGTTCTGTCTTCGATTTCTTCTTCTCAGGCACACCATCGGGATGATCCTTCTTGAAAGTCTTGATTCGCGTCTCACATGTAAACTTTTGAAGTCTGTAAATATTTAAGAGAGGTTTTTCTCAAAGTGTTCATGCAGTTTCATAAATAGCTTTACAGCTCCAGAATGTCTGAGGAAAGAACTAAAAGGGGAAGAAATGAATAAATTGAGAAATAAAAATCGGCTGGGCTGGTAGAGATGATTGTGGCTATAGCAAAAGAGATGATTACATAAAAGTACTCATGAGAGAACGGAAATTTCAATTTTGGTTTTCAGCTATGGCCATTGTTCACGCGCAGATGTTGTTAGCATTGTGGGAAACATGTTATCGGAACCATGTTATCGTCGTAATTGCCAGACTATACCTCTCGAACTCCTGATCAGAATTTTCTGCACTGTCCAAAAGCGATAGATCGCAGTCACTCAAGTCTCCAAATTCACTGCCATCGGTGGACGATGCGGCAGAACCCAGTGAGGGAGCTTTCCGAAAGTCCAGAGAATAGAAGGTGCCCTACAACATGTCTTTAGCAATGGAAGTTCGATTCGACATTCAAGTCACAGAGTCTTACCTCAACCGATGTTGGTACATTCCAGAACGAAGCACGGTCGATCAAATCATTCACGATGTTCTTGACAGTTGCACTCTCGGACTTAAAAAAACTCCTCATTGTGAAACAACATCGTATGAAAATCGGCGTTCTATCAATGTGAAGCAAAAATGCAAGGGTTCAAGTTTCATTTTAAGTTTGCACATTGGGTTCCTTGGTTTATGACCGATTACAAAAACGATAATCATTCCGTGCAGTAAGGCTTGTCGGGTCGGGATAGGTAAACGGTACAAAATCTCGAATTCACTGTGATTCCGTGAAAGGGTTGCTTGACTGCTGATTACCAGAAAAATATCAACTCGCTGAAATGAAGCCTCAGTTGCATCAAGGTGGCATCTCACACAATACGCGTATCGTAAGTGAACATAAGGCGTTATTAGGAAACTGAACGGGAATGGTACGGTGTTCATGATCAGCATATCAAACAAGCTCTAAATGCAGATGCAGCAAATTTTGTTTTGAAGGCAATGTCCGGGCAAAAAGCCAAATGAGATTTTGTGCTTACTCGGGCCTATTCGCAAAGCTGATTCCAAAAATTCACAGTTGAGAGCGCAAAAACGGCGCAGCTAACGCAGGATGCAGATCAGCAGCTGGGCGGGGTCTTTCCCACTGTGGATTCACGCTCCCAGCTTCCAGAGCGATCTTACCGGTCCCGATTTTAAGTCGCGGTTCGCACTTGACCGATGGGGATGTCAGGGCGACTAGCGGAATCGAAAAGATCGTTCCGGAAGCTGGAAACGTGAACTCACGGTGGGGAAGATCTCGCTCCCTGCTGATTTCCCTCCTGCGCTAGTGCCTTTTTTTGTCGTTTTCACGCTCTCCAGTATCGGTTTTCGGATTCAGCATAGCACAATAGGCCCGAGTAAGCACAAAATCTCAAGATCGACTTTTTGCCTGGACACTGCCTTCAACCTCGTACCGCACACCCACCATATCCCCTAAAAGGCCCTACACTGCCAAATTTACATGGATTAAGCAGGATGTTGCTGCAACATTCTGTGATTTTGCATTTGGGTTATTGAGTTATGTGAAGTGAATGGAACCAATTTGAATGGTAGCTACGATAGAAAGGGACAGTGAAGGTTCCTCTATAAGCTGGTAATAGGCGTAAAATGATTGTGCATCAATTACATTGGAATAGCATCAAAGCTTGACCTTAGCATTGAATTGATTGATTTAATTTAAATCTATATCTTGGTTCCAGCTCTGTGAACTTCTACACAGCCACAGTTCCAAATTATGGTTTCACATCACTGCCATAGGCATGCTCCATACTTGATCCCTTCGTTACTGGAGAAACCATTATCCGTCGGAAGCCGGCGCTGACCTTAGCTACAGTATATAGCTAACGCGACCATAAAAGGTGACCCAGCTGCCTCTTATCTTTCCTTTGGCTATGAATCTTACTTATTACATAAAAATCTCACTTCCCACATCATTAGGTCATCCTGGAACTATCATTTGTCTTTTTTACTCTCTAATCGCCACGGTGCTGGAAATTCTCCTCATCTTGGATACTCTCTCAATATACCATAACGTGCAAATACTAAGGAACTGTTGTTTCTCTAGGATACCTCATGGAATTTATCATTATCGAGATATTCCAATAACTTTTCGCCAGAATATAAAAGGGTTTTATTTGATGAAGTTAGAAGCAAAACGTGTACATTGTCAGGGTGATGAAGTCTTCTTCCTTACCAATAACAGTCTGTTTTGAAATTCTTAACAACAAAAATCGTAAGTGGTATGTCTACGTCATCCATCAACATCAATTATTAGCAAACTCAGGTCCCCATTCATTACTTGAATAAGGATAGCGAAATGATCAGTCATATATATGCCCAGAGGATAAACAACACATTATATCAAATGCAGAACCACTTTATCATCTGACCAGTGCTTCACCTCTGCTTCGCAGAGGTTCGCACTGGCGTCGTGAACCGTTGTAAACTCACTTTCTTAGAGCTTGTCTCTTAAATCATTGTTCGGCTTATTGCAACGTGAGCCGTAGTTAAAAATGAACCATACTCGCTATCTTAACCTCACATGATGTTTAGTATCGTAAATCATTTCTCACTGTAATTTCGTAACGGACAAACTCCACACAACTTCAGATTAAGCCGCTTATTATAAGTCACCAGTGCTTCACCTCTGCTTCGCAGAGGTTCGCACTGGCATCGTGAACCGTGGTAAACTCACTTTCTGAGAGCTTGTCTCTCAAATCATTGTTCGGTTTATTGCAATGTGAGCTGTAGTTAAAAATGAACCATACTCGCTATCTTAACCTCACATGATGTTTAGTATCGTAAATCATTTTTCACTGTAATTTCGTAACGGACAAACTCCACACAACTTCAGATTAAGCCGCTTATTATATTTTAGATGATAAGTAAGACCAATGAAAAAGTAAGAGGCAGCCGGATCGCCTTTTATGGTCGCGTTAGCTATATACTGTAGCTAAAGTCAGCACCGGATTCCGACGGATAATGGTTTCTCGTTACTGGCCAGTTCAGAAAATTGACCCATGGCGAAGCGGTTGTCCACTTGGTCCGCTTGATCCATTTCGCTATTCAATTCACTGATTTGACCAACAGCGAAGTGGATGAAGTGCATCAAGAGGATCAAGTATAGCGCGTTGCCTAGTAGCACCAACCCTATCTCGCAACGCAAAATTTGAAAGTTGAACACAGTGAAAGCCTACCTCTGAAGAAGACAAGCTGCAGGTTGAAGGCTCCTCTCCGTCTGCGACAGCAGTAGACTTTGTAAGTAACGCTTCCATTTCACCCTTATATATGCAACGGAAACTCAATGCGAATCAAATCAGGTCCTCCTGCAAATGATGTATGCGCTCCAATGACAATCTAAAGGACACAACTTTTCTCTAAATCTCTTCCAGTGAGCACGTTGAAGACTATTCCCTGCATCGTACTGCTGCGTTGGTCCAGATATTTAGGAACTTGCATTGCAGGTTTCATGCGCAGTTCCGGAAGTTGTCCCTTTTCATATCGCCATGCAGAAGTTGGAAGCACTTCTGTGTTGCATTCGCCGAACTCGTAAATTTGGATCGCACTTTCATCTGTGCGTCAAACGGAGCTTCCACTTTTCTCAGAGGTAAGTACCACCCTGCGAGTGAGATACCTATAAATTTAGTTCATTACAGAGCTCGTTCGGTTGCTAACTACTTCGAGGAGCTGAAAATACGTGGTCTTGTCCGCTCTTCGTATCCCTCCAATCTTGACACCGCGTTTGCCAACGATTTACGGTGTGTTCGTCTTTTTATGTGTTTCGCCTCGCATTTAGCGCTTTAGCTTATTCCTGTGTACAGCATATTGCTACTTCAATATAGTCTGCGTCATCTAGGATTGGTCGCACAATTTGCAAAAGCGAAGCAAACGCACTATGCGAAGCAGGAAGCCTCTAATTCCTGTTTCTGCGCAAGTTTAGGGAGGGGGTGGGGGAGATTTTCTTTCTTTTGCAAAAGCGATCCTTTATGCACCTGTTACCGAGAAATCCTGTACTATCTTCGGACTCCGCTTGTCTAGACAGTTTCCGCTTATACCTCGTCGCGCGATTTGACAACACGCCAGGTTTCACAGTTGTATATGGATGAATACTTTGAGTAGGCAAGATAAGGTGCTTATGTATAAGTTCAGAAGCTATGCCTCAGCTACCGCAATAAGCAATTAACGTCCTTGTACAGAGACGAGCGAGCTTTTAGAGTCAACGGGTCGCGATTGGTATGTACAAAAGCGCTCAAAAATGCCCAAATTTCTCTAGTTCTCTCATCTCCCTTCACACGAAGGAGTGAAAAGGACATTAGAGAAATCTGGGCGTTTTTGGGCGCTTTTGAGTCTGGCCGGGGTCTAAATGTGGGAGGGGATAATGAGGGACAGAGCATGCACTTTTGTTCAACACATTTTCTATTCATTTTTTCTGTTCAAAACTGCTGTGTGTAACGTGCGAGAAGCGTTATTGATGGGTACCATAAAAAATTTAAGATGCCGCCTTTTTACCGCTCGATATTTGAGCGCAAGGCACAACGCGAGTGCTTTAGATTTCAAGGTGCAAGCGCTTTCTATAGGTGAGTGCGTACCATTTCAATGTTTAAGGTCACTCCCACCCGTAGTGTACGCTGGATTTGACCCAACTGCGAAAAGTCTTCACATTGGAAATTTGCTTGTGGTTGTCAATTTGCTGAGAAGTGCCCAGTTTGGCTTGCGGCCGATTGCTATCGTTGGGGGCGCGACTGCAGCTATCGGTGATCCTAGTGGGAGGACTGCTGGTTGGTAAGCTAGCTCACTCGTTTATTCTAGTTTGCCTACACTGCATCGAGTTTCAGAACGTGATGTTCAAGATAAGGAAACCATCGCTGAAAATAGCACATCCATTACTGCTCAAGTGAAGAAAATAGCAAAAAATGTGCTGACTGAAGAGCTCACTGTTCTCGATAATAACGAATGGTTCGGTAAGGTACGTTGGCGTATTTGCTATCTTCGTTCAGTGCGAATATTCACAGATGTCTATGGTAGACTATCTGAGAAAGTGCAAACAGTTTCGTATTGGCGAAATGCTACGGATGGGACCCGTGAAGACTCGTCTTGCAGACGAAGGTGGTGGAATGTCATTTACAGAGTTCAGCTATCAAACAATGCAGGCGTACGACTGGAGTGTGCTGTTAGACAAGTTTGACTGCAGATTTCAAGTGCGTATGGTTACGTATGGTTACGGTTATGTATGTTTGTTCCAACAAGCTATGTTCATCAGTTCTAAAGTTTTGTCTGGGAGGTGCTAGAGTAAGCGAATATTTTGTTCAGCTTCGTTCAGCTGCAGAAGGCGCGCAGAATTAATGTCTGCTGCATAATCTCTACTGCTGTCAAGGCCTGCTTCAGCTGCAGGTCCGCGCAGAATCAACGTTGATTCTGTGCGCCTTTTGCAGCTGAACGAAGCCGAACGAAATATTCGCTTACTCTGGCACCTACCTCTGATCCAAAATTTGATAATTTGAAGAAAGTGTTGGCTTTTTGTTGGCTTGGTGTTCCTACTTTTCTGTAGAGTTCAGTCCGGTTTCTGTGGATTCACCTCAAACCGAATAGTAGTCAAATCTCTTACGAGGAACGACTGGCATAGTGGCATGAGTCGCCGCGCTACCAGGTTCGATCCAAGTTCGACCCCGCCCTTGTACCCAGCAAGCCCTTTACTCTTCGGGAACGGTAACTTGGTGTAGAGTACGAGGATCAAAGCAATGATTTGGACTGCCCGCGATGCATTGTAACAAGCCTGCAGGCATTTAATTGCCTTTCCGACTATCAGGTATAATGCATTCGGCATGTTGTAACCATGCTCGGAGAGACGCCGATATCCCCTTTCAGTTTCATGTTTTTTTTTCGTACTACGTCATTTCCGACAATGCACGCTTTGCAGATAGGTGGTTCTGATCAACTTGGTCATCTAGATCTAGGTGCACATCATATCAAACGGACATCCGGAGGAAAATTTGTAGCAGGTTTTTTTTAATGCTAGCATTCGATTTTACGGTTGTCACTCTTTTTATTGAGGTGTATGTTTACCATTGATCACTGATAATGCTGGAAACAAGCTAGGAAAATCCGTTGGTAGTGGAGTTTGGCTTTCTCCCAGTCTTACATCACCATTTCACTTCTACCAGTTTTTTCGTCAGCTTCATGATCCCGAAGCGGAGATCATGTACAAGCAATTCAGGTACTAATTTGCTTGCTTCATCAGTCTCATACATTACTCTCCATTCTAAACCAGTCAGTTCAGTTTACGGCCGGTGGAGGAAGTTATGGCCAAAATTAAAGAACATCGAGCTAATCTCGGTAAATGGTTGGCTCAAGATGCCTTGGCAGAAGAGTTGACCCAAATAGTACATGGAAACGAGGGACTTGAAAACGCGCAACGGTGTTCCAGAGCCGTATTTCAAGGTAGGTGTAGATGCGATTCCAAATTCCAAATGGCGTTTAACTGTTTATTTGCAGGATCTATGGAAGATATCAACAAGCTGAGTAAGGAAGAGCTGGTCAGTCTGTTTGGTATCACCATAAAATTGGCTAAAGATGAAATCAAAACGATGGGAGAGCTAGCGGATCGCACCAGAAATGATAAAGTGAAGGGATCTCTCCTTATGACCAAAGGCGCCTTCAAGGTTAACGGAACAAAGGTGACGCTTACATCAATTCTTTCCGTATACAGCGATTTAATCGATATGTTCATTTTTAGGTTACTGACAATACTCAGAAGTTGCAGTTTGATCGAATCTGTCTTCCACAAGGTTCGGAACTCACTCTAATATGTTGGGGTAAAAGGAACTTCCAGCTGGTTGAGTGGGTATAACGCATGGTTTGACCACATTATTGTGATGAAAATTGTATACCTATCATTGTTTCTGGGATTCTATTAGGATAGAATAGTTCTGAAGCGCTATGTTGAATTAGTTTGCATATCAACACACTTCCTTTTTCTAGCTGTTTCGTCCAATTTTTCTCTTACGTAAAACGGGTATGATTAAACATGTTGCACATTGCTCAATGAATCTTTTTCATCATACATCTTTGATTTGAATTTCTGTGTTAATCGAGTGATTACTGCAAATTACATATGCTTTTTCTCTAGTCTTCTCCTCTGAAAGGTTTCGATTCATTGCTTATCTGTATGCTGCAGCTGTTCTCTACATGGAATATATGTTTTTTCATCTTGTTATTCTTCCTCAGTTCCATGTTTTACTTTCAACATACCAAATCTTCAATATCTGTAGTTTGGCAACTCACCTCTCTGGAGCAGATTCGTGAATTTAATACAAATAGTGATCTTTATCGAGAGCTTTTTGATCTCTTCCATCGATTCTGGCTTTGACTTTATAGAAAGAACTGCTTCCTCCAACTCTCTTCGTTTGCATCTATAAAATTGCTTTCTCAAATACTATCGGTACTGCTGGTCTTCTTTAGGCCAAAGCGCCCGCTATATGAGTGCTGCCCGTGCCCATTCAAAGCTACAGCTTCTTGTTCTCGAAACATACCGTGATTATCTACGAGTCGTCAAACCCTTCCATCCTTCCGTTCGCGAACAAGTCCGGCGTGAATTTCGTGAGGCTGCAAAACGGTTTCAACCATCTGAAGTACTTCTAATCGAATATCACTTACGGAGGGCAAAAAATCAGTTGAAACAACTCAAGAAAGGGAGTGTGACATCCATTGGGAACATCATCGTAGAGCACCAGGTCCGATTTTCGAGTGACTTGTTGTTGTAGTGTGTAGTTTGTAATGTTAGAGACTCTTAACTTTGAAGCTTTCAAAAATTTTTTGAGCCCGTCTCTGCCCAGAATTTGTCAGTAATGATAAGAAGCTCATTTAGCATACTAATTCCTCATACTTTAGCTCATACCGCTCCTGATGTATAACATTTTTGGTTTTCACATTTGCTGCATTCCTCTACTCATATTTTCGCTCATTAAAAAGATGTGATTGTGCTTACTGTCCTTTGTTGAAATTGAAAACAGCAAAATTCACATAATCAGGAACGAAATGGCGGATCATAAGATCTTGCCTGTCTTTGCCTTCATTGATGATGGAGAGCAGCTACAGCAACTTCGAGAATATCTCACTACAGTAGGAAAGGCCAAACTCGATCCCAAAGGTAAGTATTTAGAAGCTTAGTATCACATCTGAAGACGTTTACTTGAGGACCACCAGACGTATCGGAAAATCTTCTGGATATCTGTTCGCAGCTGACGGTTATGGGCGCTTGTCCCCATCCGGTCGAGGTATCCCGATAGTCAAGAATTTTTTTGGCAAAAATTACGGTGACATCTTGTTAGTACATCTCTTAAGGTCGATTATATTCTGAACTCCATCTGCTCACTCATGGTACTGGTACCAGCCGAGCGGGCTCTGGAAGTGGTATCAGCCTTTTGCAAAGCAATAACACCAGCACATTTCAAAGGTCTTGGATGGAACAGCAATGTAGGTGTGCCTCCAATTAGCCGTGATTTCCAAAAGGAAAGTTAAGATATCTTAGGCTGGCCATGCTGTGCATGTTCTGTCAAATTTATTTCGAGGTTTCGCTGCGCATCCAAAGATTCAGGTAAGATTGATCGCTTCATTTTTATGTTTTACTCGTTTAAGCCGGCTCTCAGGTGTAGCATTGTAAAAAAATATTCTTGCTAAAAAAAACCCAAGAATAGAAAGGGCAAAAGGGCATTGACATATCATTCTCTTCTTTTTTTTTTTGAAAATTAGAAAAGATTCTTACCGCCTTCAAAGCATATCGTTCTATAGTTCTGAATGCGGAATTAGCGTTGTTCATAGGTAATCGTTATTCTAGGAAACTCTGTACCGCTCTTTGGTAGCTATGTGCTCTGAAGCTCGTATGATCGGTGAACTGGATTGCAGCACTGAAACTTTACAAAAGCAATTCAAACAGTGGGGAACATCGCTGGAGGGGCAGAGAGATATACTTCGCCTCGTACACGTTGGACTTCTTGAAGACCAAAAGGCTGATCAAGCAGCCAAGGTGAGGTTCTTTTGCTTGTATTCATAGTCTCTACAAGCAGTGATTCCAACTCTGGAAAGGTTATGATTATGCTGCTGGGGACGTACACCGAAAAGGATGCTGCGCAAGCCCGTGAAGATGCAATCGAATGCGTAAGAACAGCTGTTGTGGATCCGAAGTCGTTCTCATTTGATCACCTGCAACGCCTGTGCGCTGTCAAAGCATTGCAAAAGGTGGGAGAATAGTTTTTCTGTTTGTGCTTTGAATATGTTATCATCTTAGTCTGATCCTTTGATGTACTCTGCATTGGAGTTATTTATATCGGGAACGCTGAAGGATTACCGGGCTTTTGTCAAAGCTCACCCAGAGTTTGTTGGGCAAATGTTGAAGGTGAGTGTTCTATATATATCCTCAAGTTATTTGCAATTTATCATGCGTAATGCACACCATGCGCGCTACTTGACGAACTTTTAAGATTAAAACCTGATCGCTTTATCTCCTTATTTCCTTGTCTTTTTTGTTTTGACTAGATGAGTATTACTTAAATTTACATATTTTTACAGTTTGTTACGCAAAAATAGTTTTACTGAGAAGTTACTGCTAAAAATGCCGTCATACATCGCGCATTGTGTGCAGGCTCACATGTTAACTGGAGGGTTGGCCAGTAATAACCTTTTCATTTCAGGTTGACGAAGCTGTTTTACTAAAGAAAATCAGGCTTTTGACATTGATGACCATCGCAGAAACTAATAATGTATTACTCTATATCATTACTGCACATTTATCGATAATACTGTAGTCTTTCAAGGTAATTCATCTCGATGATCTTGCCAAGGAGTTGGATTTGCCATCGAACGATCAGTTAGAGGAGTTCATAATCGATGCTATACAAGTTAACGCAATTTCGGTAGGAACTTTTACCTCTTGCTTATCTATCCCCCGTTCAACCAAAGGATTAAGGGAAAGCTCAATGAAATCACCCGTACGTTAGTTGTGAGTTCATTCCAACATCGACAATTTGGCCGTGAACAATGGCAAACGCTTCAGGTAAGTAGAAGTCTTTTAACAGCAAACGACGATTCTATTGTTGTCAGTTACTCATAAGCAAAGTGATGTTGTGTGACGTTGCCTATACACTCTGTACAATTGAGATCGGACCAAAATTTTTGAGGTAGGACAAGAGGCCTCATATGTAAGCTTTACCCGCGTGGACCGCTAGCACGAGCTATAATGCCTAGAGGCGTGCATTTGTTGCAGACGCCCTGCGGGATTTCCTCTTTCGGCGGCGCAATGTCTCCTACCCAAACTTTTGCTCATAATCGCGCGCTCAACGCTAAGGACTGCAAGTGCACGCGCAGAGCATGCTGGTGGGGGAACGCCCAGGAGGTAGGTCGGGGGAAGTTTTCGCGATGGTAACGCGCTTCAACCAATGAGACAGCAACACTCCTGGTGCAGTGGTATTATGGCATCCAGTTATGTACATATATACCCCACCCCTATCCTCCTGTTTTCGCCGCCGGGTATCTCGAATAGTGAAAAGTTTTGTCTGTCTGAAGATGACGATCACGCGGCGTACATCCTGACGTGCAACCATGCTGTAGATATCGAAGAAGATGAGGAGAATGGACACGTCCTAACACGACCCCCCTGTAGCAAAGCGTAGAAGCTACGCAGAACCATGGCGGTGCGCGCATCATGTCTATTTTGGCTTGATTATTAGGACAAGACTGTAGATGAATCATCGACTGTGCGGCGACAAATTTGGCACTGTACAAGTCGTGCTCTCCCGTCGCGTGCTTCTCGTTGTCGGAGTTCTTGCGCTTCAAATTATTTCCTTTGGAAACTACAGTTGCTGGGATGCAACAAAATTGATATGTAAACTTATCTGAAGCATTTCAGAAACGGTTGCAGACGTTGGTAAACAACCTAAAGCAATCGCATGCCAACATACACAACATTAACCAACATGTTGAGAACCTTCCATAGCCTATCCAATATTATCCTGTGTTTACGTACGCCACGTTGCTTTTTCGAGTTTAGCTAATATTTTTTTGATGTTTGATATCTGTCTTAAGTCTCATACTGTTTTTCGAAGGACTTTGCAAAATAGAGAATGTGTTTAGCTTCCGGTTTCTTGATTCTGGTTACAACTTTGTTGGAACTTTCTTGTTGGTTGTTGAATGAAGTATAAGTATAAACATCTCCCGAGAGCAGTATTGCTTAGACAAAATGTTACTGTTGTAGAGGCTGCTTATGGATGATGCTGATCATGGAGCTAACAGTGACAACATGAAAATGTGCATAAAATGGAATGTTGAGGGATGAATATGAATTCAGGAGGTCAAAACCAACGTTTGGCTTGAATAATTGTAGGCTTTGTTTACAAGCTGATCACTAGCACGCTTGGTCTGGGCAAAGTTTTATGGAGGTTTACGGTCACGAATTTACCGCAGACAACGTGACTTTGCAGATGAGGTTGTTTGGAAACAGAATCATGTCGTTGATCGGCATGCCGATACTGCTTAACATTTGTGTACGAGCACGGTGTGCGCTGGTTCAGTTTCATTTACTGAAGTAGCAGCTTCAACTTTGTCACTTTTGGTCGGTCTAAATACAGGAGTGCTGCTAGGCCACCCATAGAGATCCATTAGTTAGCAGTAGTACATCTCACTTGCAAATAAATTTTTTGAACTTTATAGGGAATTCCCCTTACTGCATTTACTGCAACAGCACTATTTTGGACCCAGTGAATTGTCAGCAGTGTTTTGGATATAACCACTGTTTCAAAGTCCTGGTCTCGAGCTGTGTTTTTGCAAGGATGATGTGAAAGGTCTTTTGTAAATTAGCAATCCTCACGAATTTTTTTGCGGCGGAAATTGCAGTCAAAAATTCATTGCAATCTTTTATATTCGTAGACGACCTATAAATGAAAAATTGTTCATGCGATTTACGCAAGAACTTTCGTCGTCAAGCACTATAACTGACTTTGAGAAGTTTCAGCGACCCACGTTTTTTGTCTTTTGACATCAGCATTGCTAATAACGGGTGAGATGTAGCTCATAAGTGTCCCTCCGACAGATAAAAACAAAAACGAAACAAAAAAACCGATGTGCGTAACATAGTGAGAAATTTGAGAAAAGAATATTTGGTACTCCGTTATCCGGAACCATTTTTTCAAAGAGAGGGTATTGCTTCTTTCCTTGTACCATATTTGGTGCCAACTTCACATGAAGTAGCACCAGTCTTCAGCCACGTGTCAGAAAAATTTGACATGTCAACTACATGTTTAGCAGGTTTTACCAAGAGTTGTATTGCCTTGCCTAGTGATGTTTGTTCAATCTGATCTTCAAATCAATAATGACCCCACATTTTCGATTGAACAATTTTAAAAATAAACCTTATTATAATGATAATGTTATCCTACCCTCAATGAACAGATTGGACTCGCCCAGAATAGAGAATTGCTCCATATTTCCTCATCTAAGCGGCGAAACAAGCAATAGCGAGGTAGTACTTCAGGCCATCATTTATAGTGTTTGTTCACTAAATATCCATGGCGGACAGAGTTTGATGAGAAGGAGATCTCTCCTTCTCATTTTAAACTATTGCTGAGAGCAATAAGATGCTCTAATGAAACTTTTGAATTGTTTCGCTCTTATAGAAAACAGTTAAACAGCTTTTAGGTGATCACAAACGCTCTTTTACCTCACCGGAAATGATTTTGAAAAAATATGTCAAATTGGACCAAAAGTGCCAGTTTTTCCCTAACACGAAGCAGGGAGGCAGTGCTTATATAATTTTGAAAAAAAATTGTTCTAAGGCTAAAGAACGTCTTTTTGAAAGCCTTTTGAAAAAATAGGTCCGGATAATGGAAAGTACCGAATATTTTCAAGGAATCTTTCACTTGAGTCTTGTATAAATAACTGCATATTATTGTAGTCTAAGTTTGACAATAAAGAGTGGCTGATTTTAGACTACGCTCTTTGCTTGACAATATCTCAAGTTGAGAAGTTGGAAAGGAAAATATTGCTTTGATTGCTCTTTTTTTTTCTAGGGATTCTAAAACTCGTTTTTTTATAACTCGTGATATCCTCATTTCAACAAATGAGCTAAGGCTGATTTCAAAAACTGCTACAGTCGAGTACATTGAAATTGTTACACTTTCGGAAGTGAGGTGGCGAACATCATGTTTGTCGGTCGTTTTTGGTGGACGAAAATGCAGCAATCAGTGCTCTGATTGAATTTCATTGGACCATCAGCCGGCAACTCGTGCAATTCTTTGCTCTTCTGGATTAGACCTTCCGACTCCTCTCCCCCCCCCCCCCCCCCACTAAAATGTTGGAAATTTCACGTTTCCTTTGTCAAGCGAGTTGCACAATTTTCAGGTGGTGAGTGTTCAATTGATAACTTGGTCATGGACTTTCACTCAAAAACCAAACCATTACGTGCTAGTCGGTTATTAATTGTTAGCCATATTGTGCTCTATAAGGCCCCGGCCAGACCGCTCAAACGCGCAGAAATGCGCTCAAATTTCTCTAACTCTTCTTTTCAATCTCTTGCGTAGGGGAACGGCCATAGAATGTCGGTGTTGTCGGTGTTGTCGATGTTGTCGATGTTGTCGGTGTGTCGGGGTCAGAGACAGTTTAGAGAGCGCGCGAAACGTGGAGGCTATCATGAGGTCCTACAACGACCGGCAATCTCGGCAACCCCGACAACACCGACAACATCGACAACATCGACAACACCGACAACACCGACAACATCGACAACACCGACAACACCGACAACATCGACAATACCGACAACCTTTGGCCGTTCCCTAAGGAGAGATACAGACGAGTAGATTTTCCGCTTATATGGTGTGCTTGCACTGAAAGTGAAATGCGGTAAAATTTGCGCGTGAATAAGTAGCCACGTCAGTAATGCCAGCCTTCTGCGCGCGCAATTGGCCAGCGTCACAGGCGCAGCTACAGCTCAGATAATCGCCGGGGGCAGGCGGTCCGCAAACACGCGCTTTTCTGCAGGCGGTCAGCAGAAATTTGGGGCGTGGCCAAACCTCCAGCGGGCGGCACTTCCTTTGCTGTCGCATATTCTGCCAGCGGGCAGCAATACAGCATTTTCTGCAAGCGCTCGGCAAATACTTTCTTTCAACGAGCGCTGGCTAAACTTTCAGCAAGGGCTATGACTGTTTTAACGCAGTTTCGGGCATACGCCGAGTAAAGATGAGACTCTATGTGGCAGAGGTGTCACCGTTGGTTTAATTACTCAAGTTTGAGGTACTTTCTCTCAGCGGAAAGTACCTGAGGGCTGCGCGGTCCTCCACAAAGGACCGTGCGGCCCTCGAAAATTTTGCATATTGCGGAAAGTCCGCAAGAATGCGGCCACTGCGCCGCAGCTTATCCATAAGAAAACCGCGATTGTTCTTCAAGCATTCGTCTAAAATTTCGCTAAAATTCTTCCAAATATCTGCAAGCGGATCGCAAGAAATCAGCGAACTATTTTTCCGCTGCCTGCCCGCCCATAAATCGCATGGCCGCCTGCCCCCGGCGATTATCTGAGAGGGCTCCTACATTGCAGAGTCGTTTGCACCAGCGGTCGCGCGACCGCGTCGCGTCCGGGCATCAATGGCGCCGGCGCCGGCAAAATGCCTGGGCGCGACGCGGTCGCGCGACCGCTGGTGCAAACGACTCTGCAATTTAGAAGCCCTGTATATGTTCGCGCGCAAATTTTACAGCATTTCACCTTCAGTGCAAGCACACTATATTAAGCGGAAAATCTACTCGACTTTAGAGAAAGTGGACAGAGGTCAGAAAAACATGGGCGCTTTTGGGCGCTTTGAGCGAAGTCTGGCGGGGGCCTAACTAACCCAGTTTACCATTATTCAACAATGATGAACCGGCATGATAACGCACTGGAAAGAGATGCTTAGTGCAAGCATACAGGGGCGTAACGTCAGGAGACATAAAAGGCAGCTGAGAATAGGGAAAGAATTCCAAAAAGCCAAATAAACTACAGAGAGCGAAGGCAGTAGTCCTTAGAAACGCGCCATACTTGATCCGCTTAATCCACCTGATTCGCTTGGTCCGCTTCGTCATTGACCAATTAAGTGATCAATAGTGAAGTGGGTGAAATGGACCAAGCGGATCAAGTGGACAACCGCTTCGCTATTGTTCAGTTCACTGAGTCAATCAATGACGAAAGGGTCATTAATCATGTAGATTTAGCGGATCAAGTATGGCGCGTGCCTTACATACCACAGCATACAGTAGGTTAAAGGCATCGTCCACCCAGATTTTCGAATTCCACGTTTTTGTCGTTTCAGGGCCTTCTCATGTCCCTGATTCCAATATGAAGTCGAGAATGCTCGAAAACCCCGACAATCCCCGTTCCGGAGAACCCACAAGCCGGCTTTCCAGAACGGTGATTGGATGGGCGCGCACAAATGGGCGGGCATGGATGGGGGTCCTCGTACATCTTCGCTATTCCGGAGCGATTTTCTCGCTTCCGAAGCGGCATTTTGCTCCGCGACTTGGGCATTGGACTAATGGCGGCCCTACTATTATATGCTGCCCAAAGCTCAACACCCTCAACTTAGGGTGGACGGTGCCTTTGACGGCCCAGCTAAAAGGCAGTGTCTGGGCAAAAACTCGATTTTGAGGTTTTGTGCTTACCCGGGCCTATTCGCTACGCTGAACCCGAAATTGTACATTAGAGAGCGCGAAAACAGAGAGAAAGGGCTTTAACACAGGAAGGAAATTAGCAGGTGGGCGGGGTCTTCCCCACTGTGAATTCACGCTCCCAGCTTCCGGGGCGGTCTTCTCCATTCCGCCAGCTGCCCTGACATCTTTACAGGCCAAGTGCAAATGCATGACTTGAAATCGGAACTGAAAAGATCGCTCCAGAAGTTGGGACCGTGGATTCGCAGTGGGGAAGACCCCGCCCACTTCTGATTTCCCTCCTGCGTTAGAGCCCCTTTTCGCCGTTTTCGCGCTCTCCAGTGTGTATTTTCGGATTCAGCATAGCGAATAGGCCCGGGTATGCACAAAATCTCAAAATCGAGTTTTGCCCGGACACTGCCTTTAATGGTATGGTGGTGCAAAAGGCGGCAGTTTCAAAATCGCTTTTGGAACGGACCTCCCGCTTTCATATCAGCAGCAAAACCAGAAGCACAAACGATCGGCTCATGGTTCCAAGACGATAAGAACTCGTTTCAATCGCAACTTTAGCGAAGGTCTCCAGATATTCAAATATTTTATCACACCTATGTTTACAGAAGTTCTTACAACAAATGCAATCAAAATACATGCAACGACAAAAATAATGGTTTAAGGTGCGGCTGTTCGGCTTGCATTTGCAAACACAACGTCGTCAGTAGGGAATTCAGCACGACCAAAATCGAATTCGCAGCGAATGGTGAATTGTACATTAGACGTTCGACACCTTGAAGACAGTGGAATAATCACAAAAATCTTTCTAGAACCCTCACTTACTTCTCTGCTCTCCACATGTAAAAATCTCTGCCCCTTTGTTGTATTTTGTATGTAAAGTGCGCAAAGCAACTCCTGAGATAATTACATGACTTCAACAAAAACATGTATTTCAAAAATATGCTAGAACCTGCCTATGGTTCTGAGGCTCTCGTTTGATCAAGTATACAGTATCAGCGCCTGGACACAACACATTACAGTAGCTGCGCAATTTTCCATCTACTACTTCCTGAAACAAACTTTCTGTTTTGCTAGCTGTACTGAGTGTAGCTTATATTACCTCAAAACAAGGCTCCAGGGGTGCCACTCGCGCCTCACCCGATTCCGTTTCCTTCAGAGCTACTGAACATGGGGTGGATGCTTTTTGAGCTTTGTCATCTTTGGCAGCACATTTTATCTCACGCCATTCTGTAATATTATGTTTGCTAAAATTGGAATTTGATGACTATAAATCTCTATACGACTAGAGTCTGATGGAGATATTTGCACCAAACTACAACCTAGATATCATTTAGATTAGCTTGGGCAGGTCCAATGCCATAAAGAAATATCCACATTCTTACTCTGTATTCTCTTCTGGTACATCAAAATCCGTTTATAAGGTTTAAAATAATCATATTCACATCAAAACTATTCGGCCAACTTTTTAAAACTGATTCATTCTTTTTAACTTGGAGAAAACACTTCGCTACTGCCACATGTATCAATGAAAGACAAAAATGTGATAACTCACGCCAATGAACACTTTCCGAAGAAACTTGAACGATCACTAAGAAAAGTAGAATGATGTGCATTATAGATCTAAAGAGAAACTTGGAAATGGAAGGCTAACTTGAACAATCCTCATAGGCTAGCGAATGTTCAACGGTAAATAAATTTGAATTATCAAGAACTTGTCATAAAATGTCTGACGGCACGCATGCATATGGAAGAGTCATTCAAATCCACACTTTGCGCTTACAATCTGATCGTCTTTTATGCTTGGATCAATCCCAGATCCGTGCAGAGATTATTGGTTCAATTGCCTGAGAGAGGGGAAATCAAGTTGGTCTCGGTCTGTCATTATGTGTGTATGTGGGACTAACTCATGCCATCATAAAAAAGGACAACAACCACGGTTCAGGTAAATATGGTTGGGTAAAGGTAGTGCTTATGTAGTTAAACTTCACAATCAGACGCATTAGCCACAAACTGTGATGTCCCGCCCACCAATAATTACATACTCCGACCTTCTCATTGTCAGAGTAAAATGTGGACCCGAATGTGTAACTAAAGAAGCATGATTATGTTTGGATTACCGTTGATACCTTTGACTACGCAGTTTGCAAATTTGTGCATCTTACCGAAGCCTCGAGTCCTTTTGAATGAATGGTCTCTCATTTTGAGTCAGTCGTTTGAAGTGTACGAAAGGTACACTTATACCAACATTTTATTCTCTCTCAACTGACTGCCTTCCGAAGGAGGGTTCTACTAATATGCACACTTCAGAACCATTCAGAACAATGGCCTGGCACCTATAAGGAACGAGAAATGGCTTACCACAAATGTTACAGATGACTTTGCCATTCCAGATGAAATCTGTAGAAATATAGCTGAATGTCTGTTTCTCTGTGAGTACGTATGTTCCGAAAAAAAAATTCATCCAAATCATGGAAAAATTCGGCACACAGATAGGCTGCTGCATGACAAGGGAGCAATATATTTGGGCGCAAAACGACGGTGAGGATACGCGCGCGCCGCGTTCGCGCCCGCTCAACTAATACTGCTATTGCGCCTTCGTCATGCAGTAGCCGTCACACATTGAGGGGGGGGGCGGTGTTGCAGGCTACTTTTCGTTACTGATTAGTATCGATTATCGGCTTTTTGAAGAGTTTTACCCGCGAGGCTGGGAGTTGGCAGGCACAGGGAGTAAGTGAGTACGGTGGTTACGAAAATATTATTGACAAGACCGGGAGGAGCCGGGTTTGTCAGCTAGTCAATCACGATATCACAGGCAGATGATAAATTCGACTCAATGACCAGTGTCGATATATGTAAAGGAAAGACGACAAAGACTTGAAAGTGATACTCCGACCGCTGTTCAAATCATGATCCTTTTCCTTCTATGTTCTTTGTTTATTATGATAATAACTAATAAGTACTATGTTATGATAACAGTCAGTCAATACTCCAACAAAGCGCTAAAGAGAAGTTTTTGTGCGAGTGTGTGTCTATCTATCTGTCACGAAAGTCGCAAAGTTTAGACTAAGTCTGCGAGCCAAATTTCCATAACATACCGTCTGTCCCAAACCTATCTAGGACAAAAATGCCACTGTGCAAGAAAGGAGCACACTGAGATATAGATCTATCATCGTATACGTACAGTAAGCATGAAAAAAGAAGCTTTTGAGCGCCGTGGGTGTCATTTTTGTGATCAGCATGTCAAATAGCCCTTGTGGATCAAGTTTCAGCGAATCGTGAGGTTTCCAGATATTGGGTCACCAAAGTGAAGTAGTCCTTTCCAAGCACGATTAGATTTTATTTTGAAGCTGAGTTAGTTACCTCTTTCTGCACTCAATAGAAACGCTACTCTTTCTTTGCCCATATAAGGATTCTCACTTCAAATGCGCTAAACTATGGAATCAGGAGCAAACCAGTACCTCATTTGTCTCATTTTCGCTTTCAATGATAGTGATCTCAGCAACAGTTACACTACTGAAGAAAACAAAATGGCATTGAACCACTTTTGTCAGCCCCTTTTTTCCAGATTTTAGGGGTTGGGATCAGTAAAAATTTTGAGAAGCACCCCTAAAATTCTCCGGAGTGCGTGGCTAACGCCACGCACCTTCACTTGAAAGATTTTTTTGCCGCGCTCCCTCCCACCCCCCCCCCCTCTCCCCCGGACGGAAATCCTGGGACCGCCACTGACAGAAATGTATATATTGCTGACAAAAAAAACAAATGAACACGCGGTTTCGAAGCTACATTTGAAAGGCAAAGACTATACGGAGCGTTTGAGAGCAGTGAGTAATAAAATGATGTTATTGCGCCAGTGCAGCAGGTCTCTGAATTGATGATGGCTTGCTCCCGCCGGGTCCGAAAGGGTTAAACTCGATCCACAGGGGCTATTTGACATGGTAATTACGAAATTACGAAGAAGGCGAATCAGCCGAAACGTAAGCCTAATAAAAGAGTTGTAACAATCTTGGTCAAGGCTTAACAACTGCACATAAGGATTCATCACCATGCCAAGATTCATTCAAAGCCGAACATGGGATATCAATTACGAAATTGATATTCACTGTGCTTGGTGCCATATTATGCCTTACGATAGCAAGAGGTAGACGATAACGTTTTGGGAGGAGGGGGGGGGGGGAGGGTTTGAGACACACAGCAGGGAAGGGTCGCATCCGGCGATCGTGTGCCAGACCTTCTGCTCGACCTGATCACCACTCCTTTTCTGTACAACACTACCCTGTTCCTGTCTTACTTCCATATGCCAGTTCCGTGCCTCCACTATGTTTTCGTAATCAACGCGCCTACCATCCCCCCCCCCCTCTGTGCCAACTCGTAGCCTCGCAGCTCATACTTTGCAGAAAGTTAATGAAATCGTTGGACTTACGATAATGTGGAGAATTGCAGAAAGTCACTGAAATCGTTGAAGCTATTCGATAATTCTAAGACCTTATATGGTTTTCGTAACCAGCACACTTACCCCCCCCCCCTGTGCCAACTCCCAACCCTGTAGCTGACTTTGTTGCACACAAAGAAACTAGGGTGGAGCAATTGTTCACGCTTGCCAGAACTCGGTATTGTGTTTCAGAGAGGGAGCATTCGGATTTTCAGCACCTCATAAACCTTATAAATCAAGGAAATGGAAAGAGCAAAGAATTGTAAACCAGCACATTATCTTTTGGACACAGTTATTACCATGCATAGGCTTGCAGTTTGAAGTTTGCGAGGTTTATGGTATAGATGAAGGTGAGTGTCTGTTCGTCCATGTGTGCCTGTGTTTCTGTGCGTCAGTGTGCCTGCGTGTCTGTCTATAGAAGAAAGGGAAACTATTAACCTAATAAAAGAACTTCTTGACATAATGTCGTCAAAAGGAAACATTTATTCGCATTCCGGTTTCGGGGCTAAGAACTATACCGGTCATGCGACTTCCTTGGTGCCCCTCATCAGTAGTTCCCAAGGAAGTGTAAAAGATAAATAAAATAGAATATGTTGAAATATATGCGAACCCAATAGATCTTTGTGGCATGAGAAGTAAGTGATATGTTCGAGGACCCTGGTAACTACCAAGTTTTGGCGCCAACAAATGCCGCGCTGTCACTAGTCCAACTACTCCATGTTATCAGTCCATGTTTTTCGCACCTCATGCATTAGTGGAAGATGCACACTAGTGATAAAACCGTATTTACGTAAAATATAAGGGCGATGATACATAGTATTGAATATGACTTTATATAAAATACTGAGACTCCAACCATATGTATACCATATGTACCATATGTACGTATGTCGAATAGATTCTATTCCCAACCAATCCGAACTAAACTCAGCACACAAAAATTTCAGGATATTCACACATTTTCTTAGGCGTCTTGAGAAGTATGGTAGTATGAAAATTGAGATCAAAAGAAAAAGAAATTCAAAAGAAGATCTGTTCAAATATCATAATTATAAAAAAAATAAAAATGGTCTGAATTTTTTCTCGAGATTCTCAATGGTTGATTCCTGCTTTTTCCTGCTTTCTGCCATGTTTCTCTTTTGAAAAAAAAACAGTAAACATTTTTATTTACAAGGCTTAAGAATTTCTAAGGCTTGTCACATAAACACCTTCGCTTATAGGAGAGGCAAGAAAAAGCCCAAAACAAACATTCAGTTTATTTTGGGCTTTAATATTGGCGTGGATATAGGTAAGCCTATATCCACGCAATGTTAAAAAGCCAAATCTGTGTGATAAGTGGTGATTACCATAACTGGTAAAAGATTACGTTTGTAAGACCCTATGGAATGGAAAAGAATCAAATTTTTTATCAGCTAAAATAAATCAGTTAATGAATTGGCTAGATAAATCCCTACCATACTGCTAAGAAGACAAAGACATAGGAAAAAGTCAATGGTCTACGTCAATTCTCCATGATCTCTGCTTTCGGGTACGCAGCGAAAAAAGCCCATGCCACCGCAGCTTCGCCGTTTATCGACATTTCTCTGAATTCAATAGAATAATTCCGTCATACATGTAGAATCTGCTATGGATAAAGCAACAAGTTGATCTGCAAAAAATCTAGTAACTACATGAGTGGTGATGGACAGCATAGCGTATTGAAATCATTGACCGAAAACTAGCTGCTAGAATGCACCCAAATTCAAGCTGAATGAGAGACCGAACTATGATGAGAGAAGGCAAAAGTCCCCCACAATGGTCGCTCGCCTCATCGTGTCGTGGAGGGTGACAATGGGTGTCGAACTGCGATGCACAGCCGAGTGTATACTCTGGTAGGGCCTCCCAAGCTGTGAAGGAGTTCGACGTTTCCAGTTTCGGCCGGATGCCTAGCTAAGAACCGGCCACGCCAGATCTCCCGCCGTCTGGCTTCTTCTGGTTGCTGGGCGGTCCCTCCCCGCTCCACATCCGAGGTCAGCGATCGCCTCGTGGAAATCAAGAGTTGGCCTAATAAGTCTGCTCTTGTAGGGCAAACATTTTTACTACTCGATCAGCAAAAAGAAGAGAAATAAACCCTGCACATCGGATCGAGTCTACGGCGCCGGGTGGTAGCAAGAACGATGTCAGGGTACTCAGGGCGCCTTTCGG